CTGGATATCCTTGTTAACTTTCTGTCTCGTTGATCTGTCTAATGTTGACAGTGCGGTGTTAAATTCTCCCCTGATTATTGTGTGGGAGTCTAAGTCTCTTTGTAAGTCTCTAAGGACTTGCTTTATGAATCTGGGTGCTCCTGTATTGAGTGCATATATATTTAGGATAGTTAGCTCTTCTTGTTGAATTGATCCCTTTACCATTATGTAATGGCCTTCTTTGTCTGTTTTGATCTTTGTTGGTTTAAAGTCTGTTTTATCAGAGACTAGGGTTGCAAGCCCTGCTTTTTGTTTTGTTTTGTTTTCCATTTGCTTGGTAGATCTTCCTCCATCCCTTTATTTTGAGCCTATGTGTGTGTCTGCATGTGAGATGTGTCTCCTGAATACAGCACACTGATGGGTCTTGACTCTCTATCCAATTTGCCAGTCTGTGTCTTTTAATTGGAGCATTTAGCCCATTTACATTTAAGATTAATATTGTTGTGTGTGAATTTGATCCTGTCATTATGATGTTAGCTGGTTATTTTGCTCGTTAGTTGATGCAATTTCTTCCTAGCATCGATGGTCTTTACAATTTGGCATGTTTTTGCAGTGGCTGGTACCAGTTGTTTCTTTCCATGTTTAGTGTTTCCTTCAGGAGTTCTTGTAAGGCAGGCCTGGTGGTGACAAAATCTCAAAGCATTTGCTTGTTTGTAAAGGATTTTATTTCTCCTTCACTTGTGAAGCTTAGTTTGGCTGGATATGAAATTCTGGGTTGAAAATTCTTTTCTTTAAGAATGTTTAATATTGGCCCCCACTCTCTTCTGGCTTGTAGAGTTTCTGCCGAGAGATCCACTGTTAATCTGATGGGCTTCCCCTTGTGGGTAACCCAACCTTTCTCTCTGGCTACCCTTAATATTTTTTCCTTCATTTCAACTTTGGTGAATCTGATAATTATGTGTCTTGGAGGGGCTCTTCTCGAGGAGTATCTTTGTGGCATTCTCTATATTTCCTGAATTTGAATGTTGGCTTGCCTTGCTAGGTTGGGGAAATTCTCCTGGATAATATCCTGCAGAGTGTTTTCCAACTTGGTTCCATTCTCCCCGTCACTTTCAGATACACCAATCAGACTTAGATTTGGTCTTTTCACATAGTCCCATATTTCTTGGAGGCTTTTTTTATTTCTTTTTACTCTTTTTTCTCTAAACTTCTCTTCTCGCTTCATTTCATTCATTTGATCTTCAGTCACTGATACTTTTTCTTCCACTTGATTGAATCAGCTACTGAATCTTGTGCATGCATCACATAGTTCTCATGCCATGGTTTTCAGCTCCATCAGGTCATTTAGAGTCGTCTCTATGCTGTTTATTCTAGTTAGCCATTCATCTGATCTTTTTTCAAGGTTTTTAGCATCTTTGTGATGAGTTCAAACATCCTCCTTTAGCTCGGAGAAGTTTGTTATTGCCAATCGTCTGAAGCCTTCTTCTCTCAACTTGTCAAAGTCATTCTCCGTCCAGCTTTCTTCCATTGCTGGCGAGAAGCTGCGTTACTTTGGAGGAGAAGTGGCTCTCTGATTTTTAGAATTTTCAGCTTTCTGCTCTGGTTTCTCCCCATCTTTGTGGTTTTATCTACCTTTGGTCTTTGATGATGGTGACATACAGATGGGGCTTTGGTGTGGATATCCTTTCTGTTTGTTAGTTTTCCTTCTAACAGTCAGGGCCCTCAGCTGCAGGTCTGTTAGAGTTTACTTGAGGTCCACTCCAGACCCTGTTTGCCTTGGGATCACCAGTGGAGGCTGAAGAACAGCAAATATTGCAGAACAGAAAATGTTGCTGCCTGATCCTTCCTCTGGAAGCTTCGTCTCAGAGAGGCACCCAGGTGTATGAGGTGTCAGTCAGCCCCTACTGGGAGGTGTCTCCCAGTTAGGCTACTCAGGGGTCAGGGACCCACTTGAGGAGGCAGTCTGTCTGTTCTCAGATCTCAAACTCCATGCTGGGAGAACCACTACTCTCTTCAAAGCTATCAGACAGGAACGTTTAAGTCTGCAGAAGTTTCTGCTGCCTTTTGTTCAGCTATGCCCTGCCCCCATAGGTGGAGTCTACAGAGGCAGGCAGACCTCCTTGAGCTGTGGTGGGCTCCACCCAGTTCAAGCTTCCTGGCTGCTTTTTTACCTAGTCAAGCCTCAGCAATGGTGGATGCCCCTTCCCCAGCCTCCCTGCTGCCTTGCAGTTCGATCTCAGACTGCTGTGCTAGCAGTGAGCGAGGCTCCATGGGTATGGGGCTCTTCAAGTCAGGCACTGGATATAATCCCCTGGTGTGCTGTTTGCTAAGACCGTTGGAAAAGTGCAGTATTAGGGTGGGAGTGTCCCAGTTTTCCAGGTACCATCTGTCATGGCTTCCCTTGGCTAGGAAAGGGAATTCCCCAAACACTTGCACTTCCTGGGTGAGACAACGCCCCGCCCTGCTTTGGCTCACCCACTGTCCAACAAGCCCCAGTGAGATGAACCTGGTACCTCAGTTGGAAATGCATCTTCTGTGTCACTCATGCTGGAATCTGTAGACTGGAGCTGTTCCTATTCAGCCATCTTGGAACTGGATCACGGATCACAAATTTTTAAAAGTTGGTTTTTAGGCAAATGTAGCTCATAATGCCAAGTACACTATAGTTACAGCCACTCTTTCCCCATCTGGTACAGAGATTGATTTAAGGAGGTGATAAATGAATGGAGAAAATGTCACTGACCAGCAGAACTGAGACTGGGGTGAGGCAAACCAGCACCCAGCACCTGAGTCTCAGGAAGGTATTCACAAGGCCTGTACCTACAGGAGCCTACAGAAGTAAATGCCTCCTTCATTTTTTTTTAAATTCTTGCCAGCAGGGAGCCACTTCATTTGTTTTATTGTGGTAAAAAACACAAAACACAAATCCACCATTTCAACTATTTTATAGTATGCAATTGAATGCATTAGTTTATTACAATGTTCTACAACCATTACCACTATCTAGTTCTGTAACGTTTGTCTCCTTCAGTGAAAACTTCACATCCACTACTAAGCAGTTACTTCTCATTTCTCCCTTCCTCAATCCCTGGCAGCCACTAATCTGCTGTTTCTGGGAGTTTGCCTCATCTGGATATGGATATTTCATATATATATATACACACACACACACACACACACACACATATACACATACACACATATATACACATATATATACATATATATACACACACATATATATACACACACACATATATATATGGAATCATAAAATATGTAGCTGTTCCACTTTTTTTTTTTTGAGATGGAGTTTCACTCTTGTCACCCAGGATGGAGTGCAATGGCACAATCTTGGCTCACCACAACCTCTGCCTCCCAGATTCAAGTGATTCTCCAGCCTCAGCCTCCCAAGTAGCTGGAAGTACAGGTGCACACCACCATGCTTGGCTAATTTTTTGTATTTTGGTAGCAATGGGGTTTCACCACATTGGCCAGGCTGGTCTCAAATTCCTGACCTCAGGTGATCCACCTGCCTCAGCCTCCCAAAGTGCTGGGATTACAGGCATGAGCCACCGTACCTGACCTCTACCACATTTTTTATCCATTCATCAACTGATGGACATTTGGATTTCTTCATTTTGGCTATTATAAATAGTGCTGCTATGAAAATTCACATACAAGATTTTCTTAAACATCCGTTTTCAATCATTTTGAGTCTGTATCTAGGAGTGGAATTGATGGGCAATATGGCAACTCTAAGTCTGATTTTTTTGAGGAACTTCCAGACTGTTTTCCACAGTGGTTGCACCGGTTTACATTCCCACCAGCAATATTGAGGGTTCCAATCTCTCCATATCCTCACCAACATTTGTTATGTTCCATTTTTTGAGTTCTTGCCATGCTGGCATATGTGAAATGGTATCTCACTGAGGTTTTGATTTGCATTCCCCAGAAGGCTAATGACCTTAAGCATCTTTTCAGATGCTTCTTGGCCATTTGTCCCTCCTTGAATTTTGTATCCAATGCACTTCACTCACTTCAACCTAATCCCAGGCCTGCTCTCCAGCATCTGACATCAAATGCAATGTCTTACAACCATGGTAGAGTGAAATAGTGGAGGCCACTTCCCTAAATCACATAGTTATGGGTTCAAATAACACTTTTACCAAATATGTGACCTTCGGTGAGTAATTTCCCTCTTCTAAGCTTGTTTCCTCCTCTGTAAAATTAATGGGTACAGTAATAGTACTTCATAGAGTTGCTGGAGGATTGTAAGAAATGATGCAGAGGTAGTATTTTATACAGTCCCTGGCATGTAGTAAATACTAGAGAAACATTAGCTATCATTTTGCTAATGGGAGTTTGCTAAGCATTTGTTGAATGAGTGACTGGGCCAACAGGCTGTTATCAGATCACCAAAAGGATCATTGCCAAAAAGCTCAACCTCCATTTAGCATGTGGGAGAGTGGATCTCATTTACCACAGGGTGTAATATGTATGTTGAATATAAGATGTAATTGCTGAAGTGAAGATGGAATCTGTAAACCTGTTATCTGCAGAGTTATAATTATCAATAGCTCATTCACAAAAAAACTGTGTGTCACTAAGAAGAATCTCACTGCCAGCTGAGGGAAATAAGCTGTTTGAAATCTCTTCCCTATAGTCTTCCATGCCAACTCACACTTGCAAATCTCAGCCCAATTTTTATCACCTGGTCTCTGTCATTGTGAAAATTATGGGGATAGCTATGAGACTCTAACTGATGAAAAGCGAGAACATGCAGAGAATGAAATCCCAGCTGCTTATTATTCTTACCATCTAAACCTCATCTGTATGCACAAATATGATTGGTCACATACTAAGAGGTAGAAGACAAAAGGCCCTGGTATTTGAGGGGCTTATAGTACAGTGGGAAGAGTGAGATGATAAACAGAAAATGGAATTCCTAATAGAAAATGGTAAAGCCAAAGAAAAGGTGCAAGCAATGAGTGCTACTGGAGTTTGCTGTATTTCTGCAGTTCAACCAGACCCTCCTTTGGAGCTGACTGTGGAAGTAAAACAGCCAGAAGACAGAAAACCCTACCTGTGGATGAAATGGTCTCCACCTACCCTGATTGACTTAAAAACTGGTTGGTTCACGCTCCTGTATGAAATTCGATTAAAACCCGAGAAAGCAGCTGAGTGGGAGGTGAGTGATCCATATGTTTTTTGAAGGAACTATGGCCTTTGGCAAGGATAAAGCCCTCACAGCTGAAAACAGGTCATTCCTCCTAATTATTGGGTCACCGTATTGGCCTCCAATGCAGTTGTGACCCACCCAGATGTGAAAAGCCCTTCTCACCTCTATTGGGATTGATAGGGGCTCATCTTCACAGCTCTCCCTGGGCTAGTTTCTTGCACTGCACAGGCACTTGGCAAGGTTTCCAACCTGCCTCCCTTAGTACATTTTAGACCTAGACCCTCGTAAGAGTACTTAAATGGCACCAGGTGGGAGGGGGCATCTCAGTATATCCTCCATAGTCAATGGCACAAAACCATAGTAAATGTTTTTATTCACTTTAAAATACTTCAACCAGGCCAGTGTGCAGTGGCTCACACCTGTTAATCTCAGCACTTTGGGAGGCTGAGACAGGTGGATCACCTAAAGTCAGGAGTTTGAGACCAGCCTGATCAACATGGAGAAACCCCATCTCTACTAAAAATACAAAAAATTAGCCAGGTGTGGTGGCAGGCGCCTGTAATCCCAGCTACTCAGGAGGCTGAGGCAGGAGAATCTCTTGAACTCAGGAGGCGGAGGTTTCAGTGAGCCGAGATGGCACCATTGCACTCCAGCCTGGGCAACAAGAGCGAAACTCCATCTAAAAAAATAAATAAATAAATAGGCTGGGCGCAGGGACTCACACCTGTAATCCCAGCACTTTGGGAGGCTGAGGCAGGTGGATCACTTGAGGTCAGGAGTTTGAGACCAGCCTGACCAACATAGCAAAACCCCATCTCTACTGGAAATACAAAAAAATTAGCTGGGCGTGGTGGCGGATGCCTGTGATCCCAGCCACTTGGAAGGCTGAGGCAGGAGAATCACTTGAACCTGGGAAGCAGAGATTTCAGTGAGCCAAGGTCATGCAATTGCACACCAGCCTAGGCGACAAGAGAGACTCCGTCTCAAAAAAATAAATAAATAAAATTTAAAATTAAAATAAAATACTTCGACCTAAAGAAATAGTAAGTAAATTGCAGGCAGTACAATATTCCATCTTTGCATACTTTAGTATATGCCTCTTTTAAAAAGGCACATTTCCAAACATAGCCAAAATAATAGGATCACATATAGGAAAATTAAAATTCCTTAATCTCATTTGATACCCAGTCCCTAGTTTAATTCCTCCCAATGTTTCCAAATATCTTTAACGGCCACTTTGGCCAAACCAGCATCTGCTCCTGGATCACACATTGTAACTGGTTGTTATATTCCTTCAGTTTCAGTGTAATGAGGAGACTGGGCCACTTGTCCCATAGAGTATCCCACCTTGTACATTTCTCTGATCAGTTCTTTGTGGGGTCATTTAGCTAATTTCTCTATGCCTCCATTTCCTGTAACCAGACTTAATTAGATGTAGGCTGAACAGTTTTTACCAATGATTGGTAAATTCAGAGGTGATATTATGTACTCCATATTGTATTTAATCAGATGTCAAAAACCATCTGGTTGACCCACCAGAAGTGATGCTAAAACTGGCCCCTGAATTGAGGAGATGACACTGATCCCTGGATTGTAAAGTCATGTTTAATTTGTATACTACTACTTTACCGTACATGAATGCCCAATTCTCTTTCACCTCGTGTCTTTAACACCAATTTATTATTGAATTGGTTATTTCATTAGGATTTAAAAGCTAACAATTCTTGAATTTTGTTTTGTTTTGTTCCTTTGAGATGGAGTTTCACTTTGTCACTCAGCTGGAGTGCAATGGCACTATCTCGGCTCACTTCAGCATCCGCCTCCCAGGTTCAAGGAATTCTCCTTTGTCATCCTCCCGAGTAGCTGGAATTAGAGGCATGCACCACCATGCCCGGCTAATTTGTATTTTCAGTCGAGACGGGATTTCTCCATGTTGGTCAGGCTGATCTCGAATTCCTGACCTCAGATGATCCGCCCACTTCGGCCTCCCAAAGTGCTGGGATTACAGGCATGAGCCACCGTGCCTGGCCAATTTTGTTATTCTTTCTACATTTATTAAGTAGTTGTTTTCCATAAAGTGGGAAGGAGGCAGAATATTTGACTTTTCTGAAGTAGAGTCCCAAATGGAGAGATAGAAAACCTGCTAAATTTTTGTGTGAGCAATTTTAAGAGGAGGAAGAGATAGGGATAAGACAGTGGAGCAGTGACAGCAGGGAATTCTTTGTGTATGGTTGTTCAGCCTAACTCCACCATAGTTTATTTTTTAGGGAAAACTCTCTTTCTTCACAACAAATGTCAGAAGTGACTTCTGTTTTCCTTATCCTACCTTAGACCCATTTTGCTGGGCAGCAAACAGAGTTTAAGATTCTCAGCCTACATCCAGGACAGAAATACCTTGTCCAGGTTCGCTGCAAACCAGATCATGGATACTGGAGTGCATGGAGTCCAGCGACCTTCATTCAGATACCTAGTGGTGAGTGTCTTGGCTCTTTTTTGCTTATGTCCCTAAATATGTTTTAAATGGTATGTTTGCATATAATAACTACTAATAGAGAAACCATTGTGAGCCTTAGCCAGAGCAATAGAGGTGGGTTTATAATCTTTCTGCCCAATACAAAGACATTTTGAAGAGCAGCATTGCTCCCTGGATTACTGTCAGTGGAGAATAGTTCTAGGATAAGGCTACAGACATGGGCCTGGTGCCTCAAGGGGCTTGATGGTCAGTTATTCTGCTCCCACCATCTGCCCCATTCCTATCATTTAGAGGATTTGTTCAAGGTCATCCTCTAGTTCTTCCAGAATTTATAAGGCAGTACCCTGTCTCAAAGACATGAACCAGTGCTCAGTCTCTGCTATGGATTACACTTCAGTCTCTTCATGAAGACACAGGATATAAGATAGACAGCTCCAGCAAAGCACCTTAATTCAGTAGCTTGTCTTCTATAAGGGAACAATTCAACTTGCATTTTTAAGATGTTTTACAGCTTACAACACCTGTACCTTATTTGGTCCTCCCAACCTTCCCAGGTATTCAGAAAACATGATTATCATTAAGAATTAAAAGTGAAGAAACCAAACCTCAGCAAAGTTAGGGGTCTTTTCCAGAACCACGCAGGAAAGTCTAGCTCTTCTAACAACTTGCCTGACCAAAGTGTTGGGCTTTCATTGGCTTGGCATACTGGAAAGGGTACTGAACTGCAAATCAGGCATGCATCTAGTCTGACCAGTCCTGACTCTTTCTTAACAAAAGCACAGGGTCTAGAGGCAGAAAGCCTGAGTTCAAATGCCAGCCTGCAACACTATAGTTATATGTTCATTGGTAAATCTTTCTTTGATTCCCAGTTTTCTTATCTTTTATAACAAAGCAATGTAGGCAAAGAGGTTAACACCATTGATGGCTTTTAGTAAGAACTTAGTTAATGTTAGCTTTTATTATTGTTACTGCAAATGACCATGTGACCTTGGATTTCCTCTTTAAAGATCAATTAAAAAGAATATGTGGAAGGATTTTTAAATTTTTAGAGTACTATAAAGCATATGCAACGTATTAAAATATTAATAATATTGAAAAGAAAATAGCCCTGTCATTGATGATACTTTGGATTGCTGTTCAAATAAAAAAATATATATAAATGGAGGAAAACACTTTTCCTCCATTTAACATTTCCTCCTTATAAACATTTAAGAGTTTCATTCATTAGGTTTGTTTGTTTTTAATGATGCTGTACGTGATCAGAGCTTTCTGGTTGTTTGTTTTTTAGACTTCATCATGAATGATACAACCGTGTGGATCTCTGTGGCTGTCCTTTCTGCTGTCATCTGTTTGATTATTGTCTGGGCAGTGGCTTTGAAGGGCTATAGGTACTTCACTGTCTCTTAACTTTTCCTCCCAATCATGATAGTCAGGGATAACGACAAAAAAGATAATACAAAGATGATGGACACCTGTAGGTAATCTTCACTTTAGCCATTAGATATAGTGTGTTTGCCCATAAAAAAAAAATCTTTTATCAGTGCTATAAAAAGTAGAAAAATTGACTCATTTCAGGCTGATGTTCTTTCTATGAAACAGAGATTCATAGTTGTGAAACAGTAAAAATCTGGCAAGAGTAGCTAAACTCAAGAGAAGCAAATAGTCCAAATAATCCACTAACTTCAAAATCAGCCTCCTTAATTAGCTAGAGTTAATTTTAATATAGGCCTCTGTAATTTTATTTTCATCATTGATTGTTTCATGGAGCTGCCAAACTCTAAGTCCTATCTCTACCACAGTGTATATAGTGGCTATTATACTAACCTTTCAAAAATTACAAAGTCAGAAATGAGTCATTTAGCCAATCTCATGAATTATTTTATAGCATGGTGACCTGCATCTTTCCGCCAGTTCCTGGGCCAAAAATAAAAGGATTTGATGCTCATCTGTTGGAGGTAAGTACAGGAGGCAAAAAATGCAGTGTGATTCACTGCTTTGTAGTAATTAACTCCACACACTCACACACAGTCCCTGTCAGTTCAGCCTGGTAGTTTCAGCCAGCCTTTTTGGGCTGTCGCTCCTGGTCAGCATGTGTGTTAACAGAAAGATGTGTCAATGATGAGGGTACTTACTTTCACACACTAAATGTCAGGGGGCAAAGAGAGAAAGTCAAGAAAACATGGAAACACATTTATTGATTTATCAGATCTACTCATAAGCACAGAGATAAACATTTGTACAAATAATCAATTTAGAAAGAGAGTGAATATTTTAATTAATGCAAAACAGGGACCCACCACCAGCCCCTCAATCATACATTGGTAGAAACTTCTACTTGAATGTTCTTTACATAAAGTCATAGTAACAGACTATCCTATTGCCATTATCTCTCACTTTGGGCACTCAGTTGAGACCAGATCAGTACAGTGGGGCCATGTGTTTGCCAGGGCCCAATTGGGCTGATTCAAGAGGGAATTAAATGGTGAGTGTTTTGAATGAAAAGACGGGTTAGAACATTTTTAAATTTTTCTCCAAGTTGAAATAGTTTCAGTTTGGCTTTTAAGCTTAACACTGACGTATATAAAAGGAACTAGCTGTACATTAAAGCAAATACCACTTGACCCAGCTGCTCGGGGTCTGACAGTGTAAGAATAGAAGAAGTGAGCCCTGGATAATCTGGCTTATCTGTGTTCACTTTGGTTGCAAATATCGAAGCAGGGACTAGAGCCCAGGAGTCCGGGCTCCTAACCCAGTGCTCTTCCTCCACTATCCAGTGTAGCATTGACCTGATAGAACCAGCGTGAATGTCTCAGCACACTAAATTAGTTACTGTCCAGCTCACAATTTAACCTGCTAGCCACAGAGACTTAATGATAAAATAGCTACTTTTGTCTCAAAAATACGTATTAGCATTCTCAATGATATTACCTCTAATCCTCAAAAGAACCCCCCCCCCGCCAGATGGGTAGTATTCATATTATTTTCTACCTTTTAAAAATGGAGAAGCTGAGGTTCAGAGAGTAGCTTGTCCAAAGTCACATACCCTGTAATAAGTGATCAAGCCAAGACCTAGGTCAGTACCTGACCCAAGTCAGAGGATAAGAAAAAATAGGCGAGAGTGAGAGGAGGAGGTAGGAGGAAATAGGAGGGGGAGAAGAACGATAGGAGGGAGAAGAATAGGAAGAGGGGGGAATATGGAATAGGGCAAAGAAGGAGGAGAAGAGAAGGAGGGAGAGGAAGTAGAGTAGAAGAAAACAGTAGGTTAGGAAGAGAGAGGAGAAGGGAAGGGGAAATAAGAAGAGGAAGGAGAGAAGGAAGAGGAACCACAGAAGGAAAAGACAAGAATCCACTTACTATTGCCAGATTCTAAAAGGTGATAGAGGAAGTTAGGAGGCCAGCAACCACACCCCTGCCAGTGGGCCACAGTGTCAGATGCATGCATGAGCACTGTGGGTTTAGAAGTTTCACAAACCTTCATTTTACAGTTATCTGTTTATTATTGTATGTGTATATACTACTTGCCCATTAAACTCATGATTATTATTGCTTGGAGAGAGACTGAGTTAAATATCCTGAGTTTATATATAGATATATAGATATATATCTGCTGAATAGTATCCAGAAGGTGATTCTAGATGGCCTGGCACACAAATGTCTGAAGTTTGAGATCTTCCCACCTGCTCGTGGCAATGAACAGATACCACTTAGCAGGGATGCTGATTTGGAATGCTATGAAGCTAACAGCCATCTCTTCTTGTGTCCGTGTTTTAATAGAAGGGCAAGTCCGAAGAACTACTGAGTGCCTTGGGATGCCAAGACTTTCCTCCCACTTCTGACTATGAGGACTTGCTGGTGGAGTATTTAGAAGTAGACGACAGTGAGGACCAGCATCTAATGTCAGTCCATTCAAAAGAACACCCAAGTCAAGGTATGAAACCCACATACCTGGATCCTGACACTGACTCAGGCCGGGGGAGCTGCGACAGCCCTTCCCTTTTGTCTGAAAAGTGTGAGGAACCCCAGGCCAATCCCTCCACATTGTATGATCCTGAGGTCATTGAGAAGCCAGAGAATCCTGAAACAACCCACACCTGGGACCCCCAGTGCATAAGCATGGAAGGCAAAATCCCCTATTTTCATGCTGGCGGATCCAAATGTTCAACATGGCCCTTAATACAGCACAGCCCCAGATCCTCCTACCACAATATTACTGATGTGTGTGAGCTGGCTGTGGGCCCTGCAGATGCACCGGCCACTCTGTTGGACGAAGCAGGTAAAGATGCTTTAAAATCCTCTCAAACCATTAAGTCTAGAGAGGAGGGAAAGGCAGCCCAGCAGAGGGAGGTGGATAGCTTCCATTCCAAGACTGACCAAGATACGCCCTGGCTGCTGCCCCAGGAGAAAACCCCCTTTGGCTCCGCTACACCCTTGGATTATGTGGAGATTCACAAGGTCAACAAAGATGGCGCATTATCATTGCTACCAAAACAGAGAGAGAACAGCGGCCAACCCGAGAAGCCCAGGGCTCCTGAGAACAGTAAGGAGTATGCCAAAGTGTCCGGGGTCATGGATAACAACATCCTGGTGTTAGTGCCGGATCCGCATGCTAAAAATGTGGCTTGCTTTGAAGAATCAGCCAAAGAGGCCCCACCATCACTTGAACAGAATCAAGCTGAGAAAGACCTGGCCAACTTCACTGCGACACCAAGCAAGTGCAGGATCCAGCTGGGTGGTTTGGATTACCTGGATCCCGCATGTTTTACGCACTCCTTTCATTGATAGCTTGACTAATGGAATGATTGGTTAAAATGTGATTTTTCTTCAGGTAACACTACGGAGTACATGAAATGTTCAAGAATATAGTCAGACTGACACTACTAAAGCTCCCAGCTCCTTTCATGCTCCATTTTTAACCACTTGCCTCTTTCTCCAGCAGCTGATTCCAGAACAAATCATTATGTTTCCTAACTGTGATTTGTAGATTTACTTTTTGCTATTAGTTATAAAATTATGTGTTCAATGAAATAAAAGCACACTGCTTAGTATTCTTGAGGGATAATGCCAATAGAAATATCCTCTGGAAAAGGCTTTCGTGATTTGGCATGGGACAGACGGAAATGAAATTGTGAAAATTGTTTACCATAGAAAGATGACAAAGGAAAATTTTCCACATAGGAAAATGCCATGAAAATTGCTTTTGAAAAACAATTGCATAACCTTTACACTCCTCCTCCATTTTATTAGGATTACCCAAATATAACCATTTAAGGAAAGAATGCATTCCAGAACAAATTGTTTACATCAGTTCCTATACCTTACTGACACATTTCTGATATGCAAGTAAGAAATAATGCCTCCATTTTTTTCTTAAAATAGTTTAGATATGTTAAGCATGGATTTTCCCCCTAAATTCTATTTTAAAGCCTCTATAGAATATAGTTTGAAAATTAAAATTTTCTTACACAAGGGGCAGATGAATTTCATGTGAATCCTTTTAGGATGTTTTCCTGCTTCTTTTCAGCATAATAGATAATTTATTATACACCTTAGTCTTTTCTTAGTTAAAAAAAAAATTCCCTAAAGACTAACTTTAAAAGAAAACCACAGCAGGATGCTAATGGAATTACTGCCTTACTGTACATACAAATTCTACTTTAATACAAACCCATAAGTTTAACAATGTATTTTTGAAGACTATTTTTCTATAACTTAGGTAAAATAAAAGACTATTTTCTATCTTCCCAGTACAGCTGTTTACGTATTCAGTGGGTAAAGTATTTTCTGCTGCGAGGTTATAATGTGTATTTACAGTACATAGTAGTATATGCAGTTCCCGTTTGTGGAGTAAAATGCCATACCAACCCAAAGCCCACTGTGAAATATGAAGTGAATGACAAAATTCAGTTTCCAGCACAATGTAGTATAGTTTATCTGATTCTTTTTATCTCCAGGACACTTTAAACGACAACTACCACCACCACCAACCTAGGGATTTAGGATTCTCCACAAACCAGAAATTATTTCTCCTTGGAGTTTCAGGCTCCTCTGGGACTCCTGTTCATCAATGGGTGAATCTTCCTAAAGCTACCATAAAAAGGGAGAGCTATGATTTCTAACAGCTGTTTAAAAGAGAGAGGTTTTGTTTTTGTGAGAAATCTTGAGCCACAAAAAAATTTTAAGCAAAGCCAGGAGTTAGTGTCTCTCTGAAGTAAATTCAACTGCAAAATCTTGGCAGTGGCAGAAACAACTCATATCAGAAGTGTCCAAATAAAGGTTTTGGGAAACTAGGTATTTGTATAGCAATGGAAATAGCTCCAAAGGTCAGAGTGTGGTAGTGAGAATCTCCCAGTCAGTTCCAATGCCAGGCTTCCTGAAAGAAGTCAAAGCTTGGATCTTTATTTTAAAGGGCGCATCCATGACTCATCTAACACCCTCCCTCTATTTTTCCCTTCACTTGATGGTAAATCTATTCTCTGTGTCCATTTACTAGCTGGACATAGAGAACTTGAGCTCACCTCTGGGAGTCAAATATTCCCAACTAGCTCATACTGATAGCAACTGGACTCAGAGGTCTCCCCCCGGCCCCGTTTGGAAGTGAACACATTGCCAATGTTTTGAGAATGTCAAAAGCAATAGATATGAAGCTCCATTTTCCTAACATATGAAAAATATCATGTGAGTAAGGGAAGCATGTGGGAAAGTTGTCCAAGCTCATTCAGTCCCCTAAATCCTCAATACTTAAACTGTCTGAGAACCAACTGCATAGGCATCACTTGGGCAGTGTTTGAAAATTCTGTTTGCAGAATCTTAGGCCTTATCTCTAACCTAAAGCATCAGAATCTGCATTTTACTAAGATCCCCAAATGATTCAAGTGCACACTGAAGTTTGAGAAGCACTGTTCTAGACAACCATTTCCACTATTTTAGTTATTTTAGTGCATAGTAACAATCTTCTTTTGGAAAGGACAGATCAAGTCTGTTTGACTTGCAATGAACAACACTGCAGGTAAGAAAACAAAAAAAGAAACATATCAGTAGTTTAAGATTCCCATTATGCCGAATCTTATGTGAATTCACATAAAAGAATGACCTGCAAAAGTATGCACAACTTCTGAAAGGCCAAGGAATATAGTCTACCTTGAGAGGCATTAACCAAAGACAGTCACCCTCAAAGCCAATGCAGACTAAACCTTTCCTAACATAGTCTATTCTTCTCTAAGAATAGAGAAGATATGTATCAGTCACTCTTAAAGTCTGAAAACCTAAACATAAAAGTAATCTGCTTTTGACAGATAATTTTGTATAATACATATGAAAAACTGTGACAGCTAAGGACTTGAATTAAATCCCTAAAAAACACCAATTAGCCACTCATCAAGCCAAGACTTTAATTCTTTGATCAGTTAGCACTGTTTATCTGAATTAAGCTTTTTTGTGGTCTATCAAGGAGACAGCTGTTCAAATGGAAGGATACATGTGGGGCGGGGGACAGTCAAGAGACCTGGATTCTGGTCCTAACTGCTTTGCCTTGGAGAGATTAATTCCCCTCTCTAAGCCTCAGTTTCCTCTGAAGATGTTGGACCAGATAACCTCTAAGGTCCTTTGAAACTGACTCCTGGCTTCCATGACTCACTGAATATTTTTCTGCAAAAATAATTCCAACCAATGCCTTCTATCTTAATCTAACAAAAAATTGCTCTTCGTCATAGAAATACAAAGTAATCTTCAGTGATGTGCTCTTTATACTTTGCTTTTTAAACCGTCAGTTCCAGTTAGTCTTAATATATTGCATGTGCATTTTATAAGTGATATGTGTACAGAATCGTATTCTAAGATTATGTGCAAATATATGTGTAGAAAGAGGCATTAAAAAAAGAGGCAGGAGATTGAAAAGAGACATATTAAAGGAGGCACTAATCTTTAGAAAAATGATCTTTCACTGAATCAAGCCATGCTCATTCCTTGCTGAATCCAACAGCCCCAAATCTCTTTTCTTATATCTGGCTGTTAATTTTTTTCCTCGCACCTTCCTAGATTATTAACAACCATTGCGCAGTTGGCTCATGGGTCCTTACACTCTGAGTTATAATAAGTTGTATTTTTATAAACAAATACCTAAATATTCAAGTTTTAAGGCGCATGGAAACTGAATCTAGGCAGTGGGTGATTTGTGTAGCTTACAACCCAAACAGCAAAAGGTTCCGATTCGTTCTAACAGATGTGTATAAGCACAAGTTAGTATCCGCTGTGTCAGATATTTAACAGATCCTACATTTATTAGCTATGTAACAGACTCTACATTTTCCTAAGTGCCTAAGACCAATCCTGGTAGTCACTTAAGTGCAAAAGACTCACTTTAACTGGCTTGGTCTGAAGGGGTCAATCCGTTACTGCCTACACAAGATCTGGGCGGTTTTGCTGTGTGTCTTGTGATGACCCAGCTGAATGTGAAAAGCCTGTGAGTTATTGAGCAACCAGAGGCCCCTGCATTCCAAGAAGCAGTTTGGCTCTGGGGAAACTCTGGCTTTCTCTTTCCTCAAGTGTCCACCACTGCCCATCATTTGCAGAAAGACTTGGCCCTGCCTTTAGCAACTTCCCTATCTCCTTAGAGTAGACAAGAAAGAAACAGATTTGTGCACATTTTACAAAGTGCCTTCCTCTAGTTTTATTTTTTTTTTAAGTTTTCATTTTTCAAGGAAAAATGTGTTGATTAGAAAGTAACTTTTGCCTTGTAGGGAGATAGATAGATAGATAGATAGATAGATAGATAGATAGATAGATAGACAGACAGACAGACAGATAGATGAGAAGAAGCCAGAAAGGGCACAACAAAATGCTCTAAGGGTCAACCAGCAAATGTTCAGTGAATGTTTACGTATTGTTTAATTGAATCAACACAGAGCTGTTGTGAATAGTGTGACTTACTTTGCCTGATAAGAAATTGAGTCTGGCTGTGATTTGGGGATAAATCTGCCACGCTGTGATTTGAGACTCTTCATACCAAAACATATTGATACGTTTTTGAATGTCTTTGGCTTACATGCCTAAACCTGAAGAGAACAATGCATGTACATTGGAACTTTGCACACAAACAGAAAAATATAAATGACTTTGAATTAACATCCCAAGTGTTGCTAACATAGATGTGCCATTGATGAAAGTCTCATGTGTTCTTGAGTGAACAAATTTCCTTTTCTGCCTTTTTGGCTCAAGCACAATAATACTGTCACTAAGACAGTGACTGAGCACTCAATGTCCAAGACTAAATCACATCGCCACGACTAAGTAGGCTCTCTGTCCTGGGATGTCTTTTAAAATCTGGACATCAGGTTCCTTACTTGTTAAATAAGTGGGTTGGCCTAAAAGGTTTCTAAGACCTCTCATGATCTAGGTGAAATCCAGGGTTTCAGGTCAGTGTCCCTGGTGCAGTGCAAGAAAGCCTTGCTGACATGCCCTTGGCCTGAAGCAGCGAGCACGTGAAACTGTGTGACAATGCCTAAGAGAAAAACAGAGATCTGTTCCTCCAAGTCAGATTGATTTAACATCCTTGCTTTTCCTTTTCCTTCCTAGCTTTACGTATTTATAGAGTTTTTACTTCTTCTCCAGAGCCTACTATTTTTCCTAAGAGTTAGTAGCAACCATAGGATCCACAAGAAATGAAATTATTCATAAACAATGACTTTGGCACTGCAAAAGTCTGAGTCAAAGGTTAAATCAGTCACACAGATATCCAAGGCCAAGTTGAAGACCACAAGTATATCCCATTTAGAGATTTGCATGCTTAGAGACTAAGCCCACATTCATTAATTATTTAGTTAATTCAAAGGCCATTAATAAATCCATGCCCAGCCTGGGCAACATAGTAAGACCCAGTCTCTACAAAAATTTTAAAAATTAGCCAGCCATGGTGACACGTACCTGTAGTCCTAGTCACTTGGGAATCTGAAGCCAGAGGATTGCTTGAGCCCAGGAGATCGAGGCTGCAGTGAACCGTGATTGTGTCACTGCACTCCAGCCTGAGTGACAGAGCAAGACCTTGTCTCAATAAATAAATAAATCCAAGCTACTTTGATGACTAGATACGGGAGGTCTTAAGGAGAAGCTTTAAAAATACAGATTGATTGCTTCAGAGAAATCCTATTTATAATTATGATCTGAACTTATTCTATGATTAGCAAATATATCATCTGAAAATAAAACAGGAGTTCTCTCCCCAGATTTTTGTTTTTCAGGATGGTGAGTTTTGGTCTAGGACCCTCATGGCACCCATTTCAATAAAAGGAAAAAGATAGTAAAATAGGAAATAGGAAGTTTCCAGAGAGATCTGGGCATCTCCGGATTCCAGGAAATGCTGAGACTAACCCACTAAATCCAAATTTTATTGGATATGGTAAATCTAAATATGTTCAGTGTTCTGAACAGATTTTATGAGTTTATGTCCAAGAGAGGTACATAATTCACAAACACTATCATGCTGGCAGCTGTTTTATCCACATCAATTCCCCTGATTTAATGCTCTGATTTCAATTTAGAAAGTATTGAGACATGTAAAGTCTCAAAACAGGAAAAACCTATCTTGTTTATAAGGTGTGGTCGATAAATAGACCACAGATAACCTTAGTCTATTAATTAACTCTCAGATAATCTTAATCTATTCATTAACATTCTACTTGCTGCTGATTAAAAAGAAAGAAACCCTAAAACCTTCAGCAACTGAAGTAGTAATATAAAAAATAACCTTTACTAGTTATGGTCAAATTAGGCTTCACTTGGATAAACCTCAAAATGTAGTCTGAGTTCTTTTGTGCACACTTTACAAATCCTGAGGAAAAAAATCTTTTTTCCATGTTATCTGAAAAACTATATGGTGAAGATACCTCTGAAAAATAATTTGTTTTATGAAATTCCTGAAAAGCTAATTGTGAATTTTTTAAAGAAACTACCTCCCCTTTGTGTCCTAATGTCCTTCCTTCAAAGCTGCATATAGGTTAGAAATGAAAGATGTCACGTCTCATGCTTTGACTGGTTTTTGGTGGCATATTTGATGTATTTGCCAAGTGGCATTCCTGACTTCACAGTAACTGTTACATTATTTAGTACTATATTGCTTTATGTGGTTCAAAAATAGTATACGCCATACTGAAATATGTAATCCTCATGTTGTGAAACTCATCATGTAATACAAATGAAAATCATTACTTAATAACTTACAATTTATCCATATGTAGTTGCAATATGATTGTGTCTATGACTATAAAAAAAAACTGAAAAAATATGTAATGTATTTCTGTTGAAACGGTGAATGTACTAATTTTTTTCTTAATCTTTGTCTGGAAGAAGCATTCTATGTCATTCATTGTACAGCTGCTCTGGGGTGTTACACATTTAAAGTACAATCCAACAGTTGTTTAAAAGTCAACCTCTCTGCTTTGTTTCATGTGACTGCTGAAGCTTCTCAAGTGTTCTTTGTGTGATGAGGCTTGCTTTTGTGCTTCATCATTCATTTTAAACAATTGAAAAGTCTCATGTGGAAACCAAAGCAATCTAGAACCAGCCTGTTGGGTGACTGTGTCTTCTGTAAAGCCATATTGAAGTGAAGCTATACGTAATAGCGTAAGGTTCCATATTTTCAAAGCTACCACTACCTCTGCTTTTCCTCTTTCCCTAGAAAATGCCAAGCAAAATTCCCCAACTCTAAGTGAGAAATTAGAAGTAATTGTTATAATTAAGTTGCTGGGTATATATGTATGTGTGTGTGTGTATATATATATATATATATATACACACACCTTCTAATTCATCACTTTGCAGGGTTATGCGAGAGTTTCTGAATAACCTTTCTTACATTTTTACATTTTATAAAAACTGACTGCAAGAAAGGTTCAGAAAGAATACTTAGTAAGTCATCAGATGAAAAACCAGCAAAACCATAGAGTGCAGATTTTTTCCTAACTATAAGTCACCTCATAGTTGTCCAAAGCCATGATAATGATATCTCTTACAAACTGACTTCTGTAACCCTCCTAGAAATAACCCTTTTCCTTATTTGATTTTAGCCATCAAACATAGTATGATGTGGGAAAAGTCAGTCATTTACCAGGAATAATCTTGTTTTGATTTTAAAAACTCATTTCTGTATGTAGTTATTGTAATGTCTTTTTTTTAGACTTAAAGATTTATAGAAGACTATAGTTATCTGATTTGTTATTTTGCATTTTTCATTCTGTAAATCTTTGCTTGTGGCACATTGTGCTCTCTGTTTTCCATGGGTTTATTCATTTGTCTCCTTCTATTTTGAGGGGACAACATGGGTAGTTAAATCTTTGTGAATAGATTGGAGATAATGCTAACTACTATCATAACATCTTCATTTTTATTGCATGCCAAAAACAATGCCTGCCAAACAAAATCTTAGACATCCCAATATAATGTGTTCATTATATTTCTATTCACACCATTATTGAAAATACCCAGCTCAGTGCCTGGCTTAATAAATGCTTAATTCCCTTACCTACTCTTGCCCTAATTTTTTATTTGAAATGGAGATGAGCAAAATAACACATTCATGGCTGAAGCATTTTTTTGGACATTTCTTGTTGCTAAAAGATCTATAATCAGGACGTTGTTTATGTAAGTTGGACAAAAAAAGTTCTTCCCGTCTATGTCCACCCTTCCATATGATTGCAAAACAAAATTTCCCTCCTTTACCTCATCCCTATAACATAGGAGCCTGAGAAAAATGAGGGAAGATGGAACCAGATATAAGGAGATCCAATAAGAGAAGCTTATTTAAATATTGTGAAATAATGGAAAAACCAAAGCATTTTTTTAAGTGGGGAATCCTTTTGAACAGTTATTATTTATCCATATTGCTAACAACAGCTTTTCTGACAAAATCCATCAGATGAAGTGCAAATGGATAATCTTTTACTTTTAATGGATCTAGAACTAGAAAGTTTCACTTACTGTTCATGTTTGTGTTGCAGAATTGTGAAATGGTGTGTGGTTTTGCTTTCCAAGTTCTTCTCTGCCTCCTCTTAATTCTCTAATGCCATGTCTTACAGAAGAATGAGAAATTTCTTTCTTACTTGAGTATCATGCTCTAAAAAACTTGGCTTCAGTCAAAGAAATGCTAGCTCTCCTGTGCTTATATTGAAGCCATCTGCCTTTAATTCTTGGGTCCTCTTATATTTTTAAGGTGCAAAATTTGAAGTCTCAGTCACCAGACACAGGATCTATATAATTAATGGTGAGCTGGAGAAGTAATATGTAACTAATTTTTCAAAAGCATTGAATATACTTTCCCGAAAGAAAACAGAAATTAAATATTGCCACATCTTGCCAGATTCCCATCTGACACCTTAACCTTGTCAGGTTTCCTACAACTTACTAATCAAGTTTTACACCTTGTAAATCTCCCCAGTTTTTTCGGGGCTGAAAGATGCAACTTCTATTTAATAGAAACTTTGAAATGTTGGGGTAAGGGAGCAGTAGGGGGACAGAGGAGAAGGATAAGAAATAGAATTATTGAAAAACCCCCAACAGGGACCTTCCTGGCCAGAATATGCAGAGTAACTTTTGCTGGCTTTACCTTTGAAAGTCCCTCAAAACCATGCAGATGAAACTGAGCCTGTTTTTGATACTGTCAGATGCATTCTACTTTGGAGGTCCCAATACCTAAACTGGAATTCTTGTATCTACATCTCCTCCACCATCCCCCACACCGCCCCTCAATTCCTGTTGCCCCTGCTAATGTTAAGCATTTTTCTCTTGTTATGATCAGGTTCACATTAAAAACAGATACTTACAAACTGACTGGAAGCACAGATACCTTTACGAATGTGATAAAATATTTTCTTAAGAAAAAGAAAGAGGATGTCGGTCAAATAAAACACTACATGGATGTTGGTTGGTGAACACTGGTGTAAGAAAAGGGAGCTCAGGAATTTTTATTACTGTATTTGTAAATGAGTTTGAAAGAATTTGTAAATGCCACTGGTACATTTTTAAGGTGACACATTTGCTCATTATAAAGTTATTAAAAATTACAGGGTAAGCTTAAATGACATTTGCCAGTAGTTTTACTTTACATAATCAATACTGATATTGTTGCTGAACTATGTAACTTTATGATGCATTTTTCAGTCCCTTTTCAGAGCAAATGCTTTTGCAATGGTAGCAATGTTTAGCTGAAATTGACTTAATAAATTATTACGTGAGCAATGGTTTTTGGAAGGTCTTTATATATGTATGCGAAATATGCATTACATGAAAAATTTAACTTGAAACAAGTTTTTCTTCTTTGCCACAACAAAATGTATTAGAATAGATTTTTTAAAAGGAGGAGGGGGGACTGCATTTTAACTCTGAAAATAAAGTGTGCAGACACATGCTAAAACATTTATCTTAGGACACTTATGGGTGGCATTTTTTTCCCAGAAGTTTCTTGGAACTTCTCCTGGGAACAACCAAGAACAATCAAAAGGAGAGTTTCCAAACCTGAGATTCCATCAACTTTCCCAAGTTTCCAAACCTGAGATTCCGTCAGCTCTCCCAAGTTTCCAAACCTGAGATTCCATCAACTTTCCCAAGTTTCCAAACCTGAGATATGATCAACTTTCATTCAACAAGCCACAAATCTCGGGGCCAAAGTTTCACATTTTCTTTTGTTCATGTTTTCCTGACTAGAATTATTCAATGTCGTTACTTAAAACCAGCTGTGAGTTCATCATCCATTTGTGATCTTTTATTTATTGCATAATATATTTCACAAATACTTGAAAATATACAGAAAAACATAACAAAGACTCATTTACCCACATCCAAATCTTATAAATATTCATACTTTGCCTTGTCTGTTCCTTTTTTAACAAGCATTCATTTAATATCCCAGATACTGTCATTTACATACCTCAACAACCAAATTCTCTACCTCTCTCTTCAGCAGTAACTACAATCCTAAAGTTATTATATATCCTTCCCAGCTATTTTTAAAATGCATTTGCCTCAAATCTATCTGTCCTTAAATAACATGACCAATTACTTTGGTATTTATGAGTTTTGCATAAAAAATAGCAGATAACATTATGCACTTTGATTTTTTTTCATTCGGCTTTGGGTTTTGGGGATACAAATAGCTCCAGCTGCTTAGTTGTATATTATTAAGCTCCCTATTTATCAGCATTTAATTTCCACTGCTTTATGCATACAACTGCTGTAATTGTATACATACGTATAATTTATTAATCTCCCTATTTATCAATATTTAATTTTCATTGCTATAAATGGCAAAAGTTGTGTGTATACCACTGCTATAATTTTACACATATATACAATTTATTAATCTCCCTGTTTAGCAACATTTGATTTTCACTGTCATAAGTGACTATGCAATGAGTATTCCTATGCCAGTGTCATTGGAATATGTGCAAAAGTTTCTCCAAAATATACACCTAGAGGTGGAATTGTTGGGTCATATAAAATGCATATCTTAATATTTCCTAGATACTGACAAATTTCTTCCTCTCCACAGTAGTTTTACTGATGTGTACCCTTACCTTTAGTGTAGTAATTTCCATTTTTCTTCATCTTTATCATTACCTGATGCTGTCAGATATTTTAATGTTTGACAATTCAATGAGCATAAAATGATGCATTGTTATTTTACTTTTTATTTCCCTGATGAATCCATTTGTATCTGAGTAACTCATCCTTTTCCTGCTTATCTTTTATGCCATCTTTGTGGTCTTCTGATTGTCTACATATGCCCAAATGTTAATCCAGGCTTTTCTGGCCCATTTTTCTGGGTATCTATTCCTGCCCTGGTGCTCCACTGCTTTATTACCATATTTTATACGAAGTCTTGTTATCTGGTAAATTAATTCTCACACCACCATACCCTTCTTCAAAATTGTTGTGGCTATTCTTGGCCATTTACTCATCATATGAATTTTAGATGAGCCTATCGATCTCCTAAAAAATTGTGTTGGGAGCTAGATTGAATTTACGTCTTAATGCCAGAAGTTACATCTTTATGATATTGTGCCTTCTTAATCATGAACATGGTATATCACTTCCTTTACATTGGGCTTCAATAAAACTTTACATTATTCTTCATAAATGTTTGCATACGTTTTATTAGATTCATCCCTAGGCACCCTCTCATTGCAACCTCTGCCTCCCATGTTCAAGTGATTCTCCTGCCCCAGCCTCCCGAGTAGCTAGGATTACAGGCCCACACCACCACACCCAGCTAATTTTGGCATTTTTAGTAGAGACAGGGTTTCGCCGTGTTGTGCAGGTTTGTCTTGAACTCCTGACCTCAGATGATCCACCGGCCTCGGACTCCCAAAGTGCTGGGATTACAGGCATGATTCCACTGATGTTTTAATACTGATCTTGCATCCTGTAACCTTACTCAACTCTAATTAATGTTCTTATAATTTGTAGGTTTTCTTGGATTTTCCATTTTTACAGCTGTATCACCACAAACTAACAACATTGTTTCTTCTTTTAATAAGAGAAATACCTCTTATTTCTCTTTCTTCATCTATTTTATTGGGCTTCCAAGACAGTGTTAAATAGAAATGTGTTATGGGCATTCTTTCTTCTTCCTGACTTTAACTAGAATGCTGTGAAAAGTTCACTATTACATATAAGGCATCATGTAGGTGTTGTAGGGGGGAGAGGAAAGCTGCCATTTTGTCCTCCGAGGGTTCACTAAAATTCACTGACAAAAGTTGAATTAATAGGAGAAAAGGCATACAAATTTATTTGATTATAGTTTTGTGTGACATGGGAGCCTTCAGAATGAAGACCCAAAGATACAGAGGAAACTGTCCATTTTTATGCTTAGTTTCAACAAAGTATGGACAGTTGTGTAGGAAAATGATTGGACCTAAAGCTGATAGACTGCGTGAGAAAACCTAGCAAGGCCTGTCTGTCTAGGTTTTTCTTGACCTCTCTGTGTAGCAATGCCTCTCACCATTCCTTCCTTCTGAGTACGGGGCAGGACCCTCTCTGCTAAGTGGGTCTTATGACCTACAGTCAAACAAGATAGGTCAGGTTATTCATGGTCAGTTTTTACACAGAAAGACTGTGTAAAGTGATAGTAATATTTTTAGACTGTAAAACTGACTTTAGGGCAAGAGGGTTCCAGTTTCTATGACCCGCCTTGGGGAAGTGAGACCCCAGTTTCTATGACCAGCCTCTGGAGAGAATGAGGGAACAGACAGGAGGGCACCAGGTCAGAAAGAACTGCTGCTGGGCCCCTACAATTTTTCAGATACCGTTAGTTATGTGAAAGATATTCCTTTATATTTCTAGTTTGCTAATAGTTTTTTTATCTTAACTAATTTTAAAACTTCTCAAATTTTTTCTACATCTATTGATATGTTCATGTGACTTTTATCTGTTAATGTGTCAGTTATTACAGAAAATTATTTTGGAGAGTATATTTTAAGGTTAAAGTAGCCTTGCGTTCTTGAGATAAACCTCACTTACACATGAAGTATGTTTGCAAACATTATTAGGTTCAATTTTCTAAACTTTTATTTAGGATTTTTGCATTAATGAGGTTCATCTTTTTTGCTGCTTAAGATATCATTTTTGGAGGTGGTTTATAAGTAAGTTAAAATCTTCTAGGATTAAGTAAGTTTCTACTTATTATAATTCTGTCAATTTTTGCTTTATATCTTTTGAGGCTGTATTATTGGGCATATACAGATTTAAATGGTCAATCCTCCAAATAAACTATTTTTTTCATTGCTGCATACAATCCCCTTTATTTATAATGGTCACGTTTGCCTTAAAACCTATTTTTTCTGATACTGATATTGCTAATTTGGCTTTTCTTGGGAGCAGTAATTCTCTGGTAAGTTTCTTCTCATTCCTTTACTTCCTAATTTTTCTATATCATTATGTTTTAGGTATGTCTTCAAAAAACAGCATAAGCTAGATTTTGTTTTCTTCTAGTTGAGAATTTGTTCCTTTTGGTGGCTAAACAGTTCTGTCCTTCTCATCTGATGTACCCTTCCTTCATTTTTCTTTTGCAGTTTGAATTATTTAAATCAGCCAGTTCTGTAATGATCACAATAGTAACAGGATATAATTAAAGGTCTTTGTAATTAAAGATCCTTGTGAGATAATTCACTGTAACTGAGAACCCTAAGCTTGGGAACAGCTCTTCCCCCATACAGGAACAATCCCAGGCATAGTGAACCAAACTCTAAGGACTCTCATCTTACTGTGATTGAAAACAATAATTAAGCCTTGATTGTAAAGTTCAAGGGAATGAACAACTAGAAAATCCCAACTGCTAAGAGAAGGGCCTATGCTCAAAAAGATCTTGCCATACATTCTACCAAAAAGAGATTGAGTTATATTTTCAGGATCTTCCATTTAAACACAAATATTCCCCACATAAATTATCTGTGAATCATGCTACCACATACATTATTGAATAATACTTGATGAACATTGTATGCCAGGCACTGTGCTATGTATGCAGTGAGCAGTATGGATGTGCTCTGCCTCCTAAGGCTGAGGTAATCTATGTGTCCCTAGCTCTCTCCAGAATGTTACTTTCTAAAACATAGTAAATCCAATAATTCCGATGAGACTTGTTCAAAGAGTCCTAATAAAGAAACAAAAGGACTTTGACCTTGCGTTATTTTTCAAGAAAATCAGTTTTCCAGGCCGGGTGCAGTGGCTCAAGCCTGTAATCCCAGCACTTTGGGAGGCCGAGGCGGGCGGATCACGAGGTCAGGAGATCAAGACCATCCTGGCGAACACGGTGAAACCCCGTCTCTACTAAAAATACAAAAAAATTAGCCGGGTGTGGTGGCAGGCGCCTGTAGTCCCAGCTTCTAGGGAGGCTGAGGCAGGAGAATGGCTTGAACCCGGGAGGCGGCGGGACTTGCAGTGAGCCAGGATCGCGCCACTGCACTCCAGCCTGGGCAACAGAGCGAGACTCCGTCTCAAAAAAAAAAAAAAAAAGAAAAGAAAATCAGTTTTCCATGAAATTCTAAGGGTTACTGAGCCACATCTTTATGCAGTTATTCTCTTCTTACACACCTGCTAATCTCTGCACCTCAGTCTGAACACCCTGCACACAGCATTCTTCATAGTCCGTTAACTGTGAAATGGAACACCTGTAATATGAAGTTTCATGTAAACTGTCTACATTTATCTGAAATCCTTCCAAAACAATTTTCCTTTCCTTCAATTTCACAACTCCTAAACGAGTTGAGAGAGGGAAAGGATTACTTTGGAAAAGCTGTTAATTATCTTCAGAGACTTACTGGACTCTGTTATTGACAGAAGGCCTGGGGCAGAGCAAAGTTCAGTTACACTCAGGACTTAACTGATAAATCATTGGTGAACCTCTGTGCAAAAATCCTCCCCAATAATTCCTAACATGACAACAGAATTTCCAAGTTTCCCCACTTGTGAAGCATTTTTTTCAAGGAGAAATTTCTATATTTTCCTACCTGATGAAAGTCTTCTCCCCTCCTATTTACCATTTGTGCAAACTGAGATAGTTCTTCATCTTCTCTAGTTTTATGTAAAATAGAGAAAATTATACCTGATCTGCTCAAAGGAGAGAGAACAGAGAGACTCAGCAGGTGTCGCTTATAACTCAGAAATAGCTGTTTAATTGGAGTTTTATCTGTGAAGGTAGGGTAGGATCTTGGATTAATATTCCAAATGATTCCTAGGCTGAGAATGAAGCTCTAGAGGCAATCTAAGTTTCCTCCTCATCCCAGTTTTCAGATTTTGTGGATATCATGTAATTCTACAGAGTTCAAAAGAACAAACATCTTAGAATATAGTTTTGTCTGGCCGGGAGCAGTGGCTCATGCCTGTAATCCCAGCATTTTGGGATGCCAAGGCGGGCAGATCACCTGAGGTCAGGAGTTTGAGACCAGCCTCAACATGGAGAAACCCCGTCTCTACTAAAAACACAAAATTAACCGGGCGTGGAATAGCTATAATCCCAGCTACTCGGGAGGCTGAGGCAGGAGAATTGCTTGAACCTGGGAGGCAGAGGTTGCGGTGAGCCAAGATCATGCCGTTGCACTCCAGCCTGGGCAACAAGAGTGAAACTCCATCCCCCCAAAAAAAAAAAATATATATATATATGTATATAATCAGTCAAGTGCGGAAAATTCTCTGTCCTAGGATGCTGGAGAAAATATAGCTATCCATCAAAAGGAACTTATTAAATAAAAAATATGAAGACTTTCAGTTTCTGAAACAGCATGTGCATACACAGATATACACACGTAGAGAAAGATTTCTGAAAGGAAATTTACTAAAATATAATGGTCAGGTTTGTTGTGATCTTTTTCTTTCTTCTTTATTCTTTTCTAGGCTTGACTTTGTTTAACAAAAGTACATATTATGGTAATCGGAACAATTTATTTTCTTTTTAAACAAAAGAAGTATAACCTCCCACTTTCCCTCTAGAAGTTATTCAAAATGTACTGTTTTTCTGCCCCACTCTTGGTGACCCCTTGATGTTGGGTGTCTCTCACTATAAAAATCTCAAATCTTACAGCCCAAGAAAAATCTCAAGTCAAGGAAGACTGCAGCCTGCGGTGTTCACAAAGGCAAAACTGACCGCAGTCCAGTAGAGCTGAAGAGCATATACCAGACTTCAGGAACTCAACATTTTCTCCCCTCTGTCCAACCACAGGACAGACTGTGCACCCCAGGGAGATGCTGTGTGGCCACTGGCCTCACTGACTTGGATTACTCCTGCAGCACATGACCAGCCAGCTCATATGATCACTCCCTACTGCCCCCAAAGTAGAATTGACTGGGAGCTGGAAACCCACACAAAAAAAAGGACAATTATACTGAATATAACATACTCCCTGTGCTTACCCAACACCTTCACCTCCCACGGGCATTCAGAGTCAACAGTTGTTATGCAGGTGTTTGTGAAGGATGTGGCCAAGTCAGTTGTCTCCCCTACAGCGTGATCCAAGATTAATGATATCTACCCATCCCCACTCCCTCGACCCTCTAGTTGCAATCAACTTTGTCACTGTCCCCCTTGGGCACTGCCATGTAGAGCACGTGGCCCCCCATTCTGAAGCAGTGGGAAACCTGGAAGAGATGTACCCTTCACAACCTGATTGGATCTTAAAAACATGGATCTAACTGAAAAGAAAAAAAGACACACATTACACATATTGATATAAATTAAAACTGCATTCACCTTAAACGATACACATTCTACAAGCATGTGTGCCAAGAAAAGGATATATGTAAACCCGCTAAATAGTTGCTTATGGGGATTGAAGGTAGGGGGGAGGCTGGAGCGGGATAAATGGGAATTTAAGAAATAATGAAAATAAGGCACATTAACTCCTCAGCTCTCAACCTTTTGCCTTCCTCAGACACATAAGAGGATCCACAGCTGTCCAGAACCTTACCTAGTTATTAGGTACTCTCTGATTTCTTTGGAATGGCTCCTTCCCCATTGTTTTCTCCTCTCTTTCTCTAAGACCCCCAAAACCAATTTATTTGTTCATTCACTTCATGCATATCCTCCTTTTTGCTCTCTTAGTCACATCTCTCATTTCTCAGTCTCTGACCCCTTCAACCATGTCCTGATCCTTCTCCCACACCCAGCACCACCCTTCTGCAGAGAAAAGTGTACCCAGATGAAACCCCGATGGAATACTAAACTAACAGAACTCGTCAGATGACCTTTGCTTTATCTGCCTGCTTTCTTTCCTCTTCCCTTCTGTTCTCTTCTTTTCCTTTCTTTTCTCTCCTCTTCTCTCTGTCCCTCCTACTTTCACTCTCTCTCCACCGCTTTTCCTCACTCTCTTTTTCTCCCCCCTTGAAGGCACTGTTACTAGCAATAGAGAGCTCTGGGGCTTGCCTGAAGCCATGGACAGTCACCACTCCAGGATTCCCCTTTTAGCGCCTCCTCCCCATCTTAATCTCAAAGTCCAGCAAGGATAGTGAGCAGTTAGAGCCCGACCTCCAACCTACTTCCATGGGGGTTTGCTTCCTGAGTAGGAGAGATGACTCTAGTCTGGAGACATTTGCTGAGACCCTTGTGCCTGGTCACCTCCGCTCCCAGGATCCTTGAGATGCGTCCTTTCCTGAGCCGTAAGTGGAAACCAGGGGGACATGGGTCGGTTCAGGATCAGCGAGAGGGGAAGACTTGAGCTCTGAAGGCTGCTGCCTGGGATTCTGGAATGTTAGACCTGGATGAGGTCTTAGAGATGAGGCATGTTTTTAACACACAGGTTCTCACCCTGAGTCGATGCCCCATTTTCATAGCCAATATTTTGTAAAGCTCCCTTTTATTTTGAAATGAAATTCATGGATAATAAAACCCGACTATGTTTATTTTCAACATAATGACATGCTATCTCAGCTGCAATATTTTTAAAAACCAAAGGAAAGCAATTCAAAATAAAGTGTGACTTCAACTTACAGATGCCCAAGGATGATTTCTATTTTTTCTTTTTTGAGACAGGGTCTCCCTCTGTCACGTAGGTTGGAGTACAGTAGTGTGATCATGGTTCACTGCAGCCTTGACAACCCAGACTCAAATAATTCTCCCACCTCAGCCTCCTGAGTAGCTGGAACTATAGGCACATGCCACCATGCCTAGCTGTTTTTCTTTTTTAACTTTTTGTAGACGTGGGGTTTTACTGTGTTGCCCAAGCTGGTCTTGAACTCCTGGGCTCAAACAATCCACTCACTTCAGCCTTTCAAAGTGCTCGGATTGCAGGCCTGAGCCACTGCACCTGGCTAGGATGACTATTTTAAAAAACATAAAGCATCTGCATGAATTTTCATCATGCCTCTAGGAAGTGAGACCATTGTCTCAATTACCAACAAATGCTGTGATTTACCCAGAGTCATCCAAGCCAGGACTTGACCCCAGGCCCTCCCCATCCACTCAACTCTCCTCTCTGCAGCAGGAACAGGAAATATGAGGAGATGTGGGGTAACCAGACATTGGTGGCTTTATGAGTGATGTCCTATGTGCCTGTGATTTTCACATGGATCTTGTTTCACGAAAGCCCCACTTCCTTCCCAGCAAATTCCCTCATGCAAACATGAGATTAAGCAGCTGTCTGTACATTTATGTGCCTGTGCTTCACAGGCCCTAAACAGGTATGGGGACCATTTTCCATTCCCCATTGTGACCAACTTTGTCTTCATTTTCTCCTCATCTTTCCCTTTCGCCCTCCTTCCTTCCTCTCCTCTTTGCTTTCTTCCTCCTGAAAATTGCAATTTTTTGAAACTCGATACATGCATGATGCTTTCAATGCATTATGTCCTTTTATCTTCAACCAAACTTGTTAGTGAGTACTATTATCTCATTCTACAGATGAGGAGACAGGGGAATAAGGAATATCTAAGAAATGTGGTCAAAGGCAGAAAAATGTAAGTGACAACTTGGGATTCACAGCCAGGCCTATCTGACTCCAAACTCGGAGAGATTCTACCAGGCCCTGTCTATCCTCCCCCAGTCTTCCAGTCCTGTTTGGACTTCTCTTTTCCCTTGGTCATGAGTTTTTTGCCAGAACATCACTTAACTCCAACGTTTTCTCAGAAGCAGGTAAAATTATACCCAGTCTTATGCTCAGTGAGGAGGAAATTATGCTGAAAGTACCAGCTGCTGACCTAGCAAGAGAAATGCCCTAGGCTGCCCCCTCCCCTCTCCTACCCCAACCTCTGAGCATTGTGTAGCTGCACAGTGGAGCAGCAGATAACCTAGACAGGGCAGGTGAGTCCTAGTACCTAGAGATCTTGATCAACTCATTGGGGATGCCTTACCATAGGCCTAGCAAGGACACTACGAAGGAGCAGTCTTTGAAAACCACACCACCTAGACTGAATGCCATCCTCATTACCTGGCCTTGCAAAAACCTTTGGGACTTTTATGTCTACTTTCTTATCTACTCTACCTAGGTCTACGCTTGCTTGTGCTTGTTCATCTAAACACACACTCACTGAACATACACTTCGGGAGCACCTGCCACATGCAAAATATACATTCAGGCAAAATATATGAGCATCTATTATGCACCAGTGCTGCAGACTTAGCCACAATAGGCAAGAAAAAGCCCCTGCCCTCTATTTCAGGAAGGAGATGAACATAAACGAGTAAGTAAATAGGTAAATATATATATGTGTGTGTATGTATGTATTTATGTATGTATCCAGTAGAGAAATATACCATGAATAAAACCAAATCTGGAAAGGGAATAGAAAAATATAATGGGGGACGGGGGAAGGGAAGGGGCTGTGGTAAGGAGATTACCATGTTTCAAGTGTTGTTATATATGCAAAAATAAATAAGTCACAATTCTTGCATAGTATCTACATAGTTACTATACAATATTCATATGCCTAAAATGTCCAGCCTTGTTTACGTTTTGATATGCACAATCACTTTGGGCTAACTGTATGCAAAGTTATGGAAGCAATTTGCTTTCAGTACAAAAGTGTGGAGAAATATCTCAGTGGGGCATTCTTTCCTACAATTAGCTAATGACTGTGAAATGTATAACATTTGCAGGTGGCTGAGGTATGTGCTCCCTGTAGCAATTTCCTAATATATGCCTGCTCTCCCACAAAGGAAGGGGGGCACAAAAAGTAATCCATTTCTAGCTGAGATGTTTCTCCATTCCTGCCAAGGCTATTTTAAGAAAACATTCAAAATTTACCCTAAAGGGGGGCCTCCCATGTGCACCCCTCCAGGCAGCCTTGCCACAGTCAGAATTGATTTAACACATGCCAAGGGCCAGGGAGGGTGATCACAGAGAATGACTACTCCCAAACATGCAGAAGGAAGACCCACTCACCTCAGAATCAGGAATCGAGCAGCGCTCTCGCTTGTGGACAGACATAACTGCCCCTGTTTGGCTTCAGCAAAAAGGCATATACTGGAAGGGTATGAAGGAATGGAGGCAAGGAGGGAGGGCGGCTGAAAGAATCGACAGGAGGCTGAGGAGGTGGACAGGACCCCACACGCAAAGAGACCAAGGAAGGCCAGGCAGGAGTAGAGTAAAATCTGGTAGGAACCGCCTCTTAGCAGCTTTGCTGGGGGGATGCAGTCACCTGGCATTCGTCACCGTCATCCTTTCACCCAGAGCACGCACGGGACAGAGGGGACCTCCACAGAGAGGGCTGCGAGGGATCGCGTCCTGAGCTGGATGATACCCAACAGCAATGGCGAGGGTCCTCGGCAGTGTCCTGCAGACTGCAGTCCCATGAGTGAAGGAAAAAGGACCACTCTGGAGTCTCCAAGCTGGCAGCTCCAGGACAGGGAAGCAGAGGAGAAAAAGTTTCTCTGCCGACCAGACACTGTCACTCAGGCATCCAAACACCAACACAGCTTCAGCAGGCCTCCATGGGAGGCGGTGTCTCAAACCTTCGACGTTAGTGAGGGACTTCAAAACTGCCAAGGCCTCAAATTCCATCTGTCACTGACTCCACTCTAAGGTGGATGGAGGATGAAATCTTCCTTTCCTAAATCATTGGCTATCCTAAGTACTAAATGAGATTCCAAATGTGACAAGATTTTTTTCAAGTTACCTAAGATGCTATACAGAAATAAGATAGAATTGGCATTTGGGGCCAGGCTCAGTGGTTCATGCCTGTAATCACAACACTTCCGGAGGTCAAGGCAGACAGATGACTTGAGCTCAGGAGTTCGAGACCAGCCTGGGCAACCTGGAGAAACCCGGTCTCTACTAAAAATACAAAACATTAGCCGGGTGTGGTGGCATGCACCTGTGGTCCCAGCTACTAGGGAGGCTGAGATAGGAGGACTGCTTGAGCCTGGGAGGTACAGGTTGCAATGAGCAGAGATTCCACCACTGGTTGCAATGAGCAGAGATTCCACCACTGCACTCCATGTAAGACCCCAAGTCTATTAAAAGTAGAAAAAGGAAAATAGCTGGGCATGGTGGCAAGTGCTTATGGTTCCGGCTACTCAAGAGGCTGAGGTGGGAGAATTGTTTGAGCCTGGGATGTCGAGGCTACAGTAAGCCATGATCACACCACTGTACTCCAGCCTGTTTGACAGAGGGAGACCTTGTCTCAAAAAAGGGAAAAAAAGAAATCATCTCTGGGCATCTGTAAATTAAAGCCATACTTTATTTTGAATGCTTTCCTTTGATTTTTAAAATTATTGCAGCTGAGATAGCATGTTGTTATTTTAACACATTATATGAGCATTGGGCAACAGAGCCAGACTCTGTCTCAATAATAATAATAATAATAATTAGCATTTTAATAAATCACACTGTGTCCACTGCATATTTTCAAATATTTTAGAATCTATTTTTCATTTTAAAGGGTGAGGAAGCCCTTAATAAATACTCCCTCTGGGCTGAAAACTGGTTGTGAATACTGAAAAACTCTTTATCATTACAAAGAGAATTTTCCCAAGAGTTTCCAAATGCCAAAAAAATTGATTTTTCTCACTTACTTTGCCCAACAGTTTTTGTCATTTGACATCATGATTTTGGGGAAAGAAAACAAAGTTACGGTGACCTGTAAGCTATAGAACTCTGTGAGAATTGGGCAGCTGGGAAATGAAAGCTTGCTAGTTACCCACTTGGCATTTATTATGCAAAAGCGATGCTGTTCTCCAAATTGAATTCCATCTTTCAATGTCTTGAGTTGCTCATGTGAATTGAAGTGAAAATCGGTGAATTGGATGAAAATCATTAGCTATCATCTGTTTAGCCTAAAAAGACACTATCCGATTAGTTAAAACAATAAGACAAAACAAAACAAATACCTATTCACAAATAGACCTTGGATGTAGTTTTATTAATCCTAATCTCATTCATTCCTTCCCCTCTACCTCCATCTCTCTCTCTCTCGCACATGCACACACACACATACAGGTATGCATATGCATATACACACATACACAATCTCCAGGAGCCCCCAAAAAGCTTTATGAACCCTCAACTCTTACATCATCCTCAAAACCCGGGCTATTTTGAATAAAGAATGCATGCAATTATCTAGATAATTAGATTTTAATTTTTTTCTGGCAAATAATAAAAACCAAGGAAGTTTTATTTCTTTCTGTCCATCAAATATCAACATTATTACTATTATTTCTGAGTTTTAGTTATTTATTAAGAGGGGTGATATGACAGTCAATAGATTTGGAGGTATTATCCAGATTTATTTCACTTACTGACTCCTATTATATTATATTTCTCCTACTTGCTCGTTACTATCTGTCTCTGTTTCTTCCTTCCTCTTTCTTCTTCCTTTCTCCCTTCTTCTCTTTCTTCCTCTTCTTTCCTCCTTGCAGAATTTCATGTATTTCATTTGAAGCCCTCACTCCACCATCATATTCTTATCACTTCTGTGAATAAATGAATAAATAAACCTGCATGGACTGTTTAAAATACAAGCTTTTCCTTATCAAGTCTTTCTCTCCAACTCCCTTCCCCCTCTAGCCTACTTTCGTAAATCCTATAACCTTGGAGCCAAGAGAGCCTACAACCTCCTCAATGGGCAACTCCAATTTTGCAGACAGAAAAATGAGACTGAAGAAATGAAAGGATTTTTGAATTCTTAGAAGCACTCAGAATTTTTGTTCCATCTCAGAAGCATAACTAATGCAGAGAGACACAATGAAAAGCTTTGTAAAAGGTGAAATTCTCAGAAAACTGAAGCTATCAAATTTTTTGGTCCTTTCTAAGCATGGAAAATCAAAAGTCACTTGCTTTTAAAGTAAGAGCAAATTAATGACATTAGTGATTACTTAGAGCAGAAAAGTGAATGGGGTCTCTTTGAAAGAAGGTATATTCAGAGCTGTTACTTTCCATCTTCATTTAAAAACACAATTGTTCATTATGTTTCTCAGGACTGTGACTTCATAGCCACACAAAACACTAACATTTCTTTCTTGCATTCAAACCTTCATGCTGAGAAAGAGACATAATTTCCTCAGCTCTCTCCACCTGTAAAATTATCTTAATGTTGACCTTTAGTCTTCAAAATTAGGAGCATCTTTCCTAGGAGTACTTATAAGTTCTCTAGAAACTTCTTCCAGCTCTAACGTTCTGATTCCATTATTCCATCCCACTGGCCCAAAATCTGTGCTGCCAGGGAAGGGTGGAAATGGCTGAAGAATGAGCAAACAGACCACGGGGCTAGAAGCCAGAGGAGTTTTGTTCTTGTTCTTCACCTAACTAGCTTGATAGCCTTAAACAGATTAATTTACCACTTTACGCTGGTTTCCTTATCTATAAAGTATACATTTTGACACACACACACACACACAAATGTAAGGTCCCTCCTAGCTCCAAATATTTAATGAATCTGGTTCAGCTTATCCCTGTTTTGTCACAGTCTTGTGTTGGCAGCCGTTTTCTTTTTTTTTTTTTTTTTTTTTTTTTGAGTGGGGGAAGTTTTGTCTTCTGGGTCTATTTGCCTGTGTTTATTAGTCTAGTGTATTGTCTAACACCTGCCTCTCCTCATTCCCTACAAGAATAGTCAGCAGTCATTAATTCCATGTGTACTGACAGCTAACCAGGTACCAGGCACTGACTAAACACTAGAATTCAGGCACTAGGCAGCTTGAAGCCTAAAAAGCACCTCTATTAACAGAGGATGGACTCCAACAACACATCACACTGGCAGAAGTTTTGAAGTTTTGTCTACTGATGAGAGAATCAGCATGGTGAGGGTAACACGGACAGTTTGCCTACACTGAGCTTCCCAAGCTTGCGAGGGACTGTAGTAGATTGGTTTTCCAGACTAGATTTGAGAAGAACTATCTTTTTTTTCCTCCAGAAAACTCATTATTGAGATACTCAGTTTTTAAATCCAAACTAAAAGCTGATTTACATGATTTTTTAACTAAGAAATAAACAAAATTGTCTAAGCAGTTTTATTTGGATAACTACAGGTGATTTTCACCAACAGACCTATGTCATGCTTAGTTGAGGATTCTAACTCACTTCACTTTCGGTAGGTGCTTCCTGGACATCAGTAACCAAGCTCGGTCTTCATACAAGGCCCAGAATGCCTCCATGTGACTTCATACCTGAAAGATACCAGGTAAGATTCAGGGCTTTAAGAACACTCAAAGAGGTAGTTTCTCTGGGGAGGTCTCAATTGATTGTTTCCTTAAGAATGACACAAAAATAGCCCTGCTTGCCACTAATCTATCTCATTCCAGATATTGTACCTCTAAGTCATTGGAAGCATCTGAAACCCTCTTACTCCCTTAATGCTAGTATATAAATTGGTGTCCATGTGTGAGAGATAGAGACAGAGACAGAGGCAAAGACAGTACATGAAACACACTATACATGATAATTAATATATGTATTGCAGGGAGATACACACACATCACAAATGTGATGGCACACATTGGCTTTAAAGTAAATGTTGCTCCTGTTTTAACTGACTCATGTGGCCATCTGACCTTCCTGAGCCCTCCAGCCAAAATTATAGTTATATTTTATTCTCAGGCTAATAAAGATTGAGCTGGCATTTTCTCTCTCACTTTCTCTCTCTTTCTTTCTGTCTGTTTCTTTCCTTCTTTCTTTCTCTCTCTCCCTCTCTCTCTCATGCATGCACATGTGCATGCACACACACACAGCAACTCATTTATTCTACATGATACTTACAGGTTAGAAATTGTAGAATCAATAGGTGCTCATGAGGGATCCACAAAGAAGAGAAATACAGGAGAGATATTTTTTAATTAAAGATACAAAATGACTAGCACTTCATTGCATTTTTATTTTTTAAAACACTACCACAACAAAAATGACTTATTAGTTCAGACTAATTGCTTATTAGTTCAGATATTTACTTCCAAAGTCTATTTTTTTCATAGTTAAAATCAACTCAAAGCCAAGGCTTTTCATTGATATGTAGAAATTCCAGCCCTTTTCTAGAAAGAGATTGAAAGCCTACAAATAATAATTCACTTCCTTAAAAGAAAAGGCTTTAATTTCTTACAAGGATGACACTGGGTAAGTACACCCACTTTTGAGCCTCTACAGGCTAGCAGCCCTCTGCTCCATCCACTAGAGAGACTGGGCACTATTACTCATAGATTGACTACCATTGACCTTCTAAGAAGTGTGTGGGTTTAAATTTTGTTTATCTACAGTCCCTTGGCTACAACCGTGTCCTGGAAATCCACAAGGAACACCTTTCTCCTGTGGTGACGGCGTATTTCCAGAAACCCCTGCTGCTCCATCAGGGGCACATGGAGTGGCTCTTTGATGCTGAGGGAAACAGATACCTGGATTTCTTTTCCGGGATTGTTACTGTCAGTGTTGGCCACTGCCACCCGTGAGTATCCTTAAAATCTGGGGATTTTTGTTGCAAAAGAATGCATGGAAAACAATTATGCTAGTGATTCCGAACTCTTGATTTGCTTATCTTGGTTAAAAAATATCCATGACAGATTGTGGCTGACATACTCCCTGCTATTTCCTGAGTACAAAATCTTGACACTCTACTTTTCCTTTTCTTGACAATGCAAGATTTTGTTATTCTCATGTCACATGTAGTGTGGCATGTACCACATGACTGGAGTCTTGCTGTGTGTTTCTCATTAGCAACAGCTTTCCAAAGACAGGGGTGCATTCAGGGAAAGGAAGGGAAGGGAAAGGCAGGCGGCTCTCAGAGAAACACATGACAGGCTTGTCAGGCGAGGGATGATGAGAGATGAGAAATAGCTTCTAGCCTGGGGAATTTTTCTCATGGCCTCTGAGAGATGGAAGAGGAAGAGAAGAATGATAAGAGACATATGCAATTCTAGCTGGAAATTTACCTGGAAATGTATGGATCAATTAATCTAGAGATTATCTGCAGTGATGACGGTACATTCGCCCACACAGATACGCTTGGAGCATTCTTGGTTTCCATGCAGTGCTCTCATTTCATGTTTGTTCTCTCTTTTCTTTAATAATCTGACCAATGCAACCTCACACTAAGTTAGGGGAAAGCAATAAAGCAGCAAGTCTAAAACAAACTGAATAGGTGTGGGACCTTCTGTCAAAGCAGGAGGCCAAGAGTTCCCCCTCACACAGCTGTCAGGAGGTGAGAAGTGAGTGTGCCTCAGGGTTCCAGCCCATATCTTTTCCTCCCCTTCACTTCTCCTACCCTCTTTCATGATCAGGAGGCCCTAGTCCCATGCAAAGTCACGAGAAGTATCCAAAATAAATGTCAGATGCAATTTCAAACGTAGGACAAATATACACAAAAGAAGTAGAGAAAATGGAATAGAAAATAAGTTCAAACATTCTCATTGAATCTTCCCAATAACATTGACAGTCTTCCCCGGAAATGGGAAGCCATCTATTTTACCCCTCCCGTGACTTTCATTTATTTTACTAAACAATGTTTTTGTCAAGTGTCTCCTCTTTTCAAGAATTTACTGATACTCCACAATTTTCTAAAGTGAGTTTCATGGAACATTGATCACAGGAGTTTTCGTGGAAAAGGGTCCCATGAGAAAATAAGTTTGGGAAACACTTTAAACTATTTCTCCTTTCTGAAGAGAAACAGTGTACACTAGTCCATTATAGGTACTAAATGTCCTATAGTAAAGACATCTGTATAATCTGATATTTCTCAAAATATTTACCCACTGGATTGATTTTTTCTGATGTGAAAGATATTAATAACAAATAAAATTGGTATGTAACAAACTTTAGCAATTAATGTCCTTTACAGCAAGCTCAGACATCTTGGCTTGTGTTTTCAAAGCTAAGTCAGGTTCCACACATCTATCATCCTTAGTCCCTATTATCTCTCAGTATGAAACTTCTAATCCTGTAAGGTTGGCCCAATCCTTCAAAGAATGTGGCTTTATAGTTACAAAATGTTCATCCACACTAACCCCTGTTCAGACTCAGATATTAGAATCTCCCTGCAGAAAAACTATTAATCTTAGTCGGACGTGGTAGCATGCACCTGTAGTCCCAGCTACTTGGGAGATTGAGACAGGAGGATCTCTTGAGCCCAGGAATTGGAGATTGCAGTGCACTATGATTGTGCCTGTGAATAGCCGCCACACTCCAGCCTAGGCAACATAGTGAGAACTCATCCCTTAAGAAAGAAAGAAGGAGGGGAGGAAGGGAGAAAGAGAGGAAGGAAGGAAGGGAGGGAAGAACTATTGATCTTGCATACGTGTGCTTGATGTATCTATTCTTCTTTAGAAAAACAAAATGGAAAGGACTCAGGCTTACAACTAGTCATCTTTTTTTCCAAACTCTTCAAAGGATGGCTAATAAGAAAGCATAGTTAGAAGGAATTCTAAACCCAAACTTCCTCCTAAACTAGGTATTTCTTTTCTAAAATCCCTGTAATCATTGAGTCTTCTTTTGAACCCTGTTCTTGGAGAGGAATTCATTACCTTTTGAGGCAACACGTCCCATTTCTGGACAACCGTAGTGGTTAAAGGAGTTTATTCTCACATGTAAATAAAATCTGCCTCTTGAAACTCTTTGAGAAAAAACAGTACGTTCGGGTCCAATGGCCAGTGTGTGTACAGGAGGGGCGTGACACGCAGTGCAGGTAACTGCTCTACTGCTTATCCAGGAAAGTGAACGCAGTGGCACAAAAGCAACTCGGCCGCCTGTGGCATACAAGCACTGTCTTCTTCCACCCTCCAATGCACGAATATGCAGAGAAGCTTGCCGCACTTCTTCCTGAGCCTCTTAAGGTACAATGCTCTTCCTACAGGAGCTGAATTTCATGGGGAGAAAAAAAGGTACGATGCTCCCAGCTCAAAGGGACAGGAGTCTTATGATTCCAGGGGAGCTGCCCTAGGAAGCAGGAACATGGGCAGGAAATCTAGTCTATGCATTGAACATCTGTAGTGGTGATCTGATGGCTACATCTGAAAGCAATCAGACAGAAGGGAATTTATGAATTGCTGGTGAAACAAGCCAGTGTTCCCTTGTGTCACTTCTGAGCCTCTGTCTCTCTTTGGTTGCTCTCCTCGCCATATCTTTGCAGAAATCATTTCGCGGGAGCCATAGGCCTGCTGATATTCTCATCTATGTCCTCAAGAGGTTTTTATCTCATTGCTCCTTAGCCTTTCTGCAAAGTTATTTGCATTTCTTTTACAAAGAGTGAAACCATTTTAAATAAATGCTATTTGGTTCATTTGGTCCAAAACACACTTAGATATTTTTTTCTACATGAGCTGTTTTTCTGCATCTGAAATGACTGATATTTTAAATTGAACTGAGATGTTAAAATGTTGACCAAGATTTGCATTTAGGTATTAAATGAGTTCATACATATGAAGAACCTAGAACAGCGCTTAGTCTCGAGTGTTAGCTATTATTATTTTACCATGTTGTCTACATTACCTAGAATAGATGAAGAAATTTGGAAGAACTGCAACCTCAGTTCAGCCCCAGATGTTCACGGAAGAGCAGAAGCAGAGAGTCAGCAGAGTCACGAACACATGTCTTCCAGTCCCTGAGTCTGGAGGGCACAGTTCGCTTTCATTCTCCCCGTTCTTTCATCCAGGCTGAGCTGCATTTTTTGTTTACTTGTTTTTTCTCTTTTTTTTTTTTTGAGACGGAATCTCACTCTGTCACCTAGGCTGGAGTGCAATAGTGCAATCTCGGCTCACTGCAACCTCTGCCTCCCGGGTTCAAGCGATTCTCCTGCCTCAGCCTCCCAAGTAGCTGGGATTACAGGTGCCCACCACCACACCTGGCTAATTTTTGTATTTTTACTAGAGATGGGGTTTCACCGTGCTGGCCAGGCTGGTCTCAAACTCCTGACCTCAAGTGATCTGCTCGCCTCAACCTCCCAGAATGCTGGGATTATAGGCCTGAGCCACCATACCCGGCTTATTTACTTGTTTTTTCAACATTCACACACACAGCACAGTCAGGCTGGGACAACCCCTGGAGTTGCAGGGTCAGAGGTCCTGTCTTGTTCCAAGCCTTTAGAATCAGGTGAGTGGGTTAGGGTCAGGAGCCAAGAAACCCAATCTTTGAATCTATCAGCTACTCACTGCTGTGTGCCCCTCAGCAAGTCTCCTCTCTTGGCATTTTGCAGACCATCAAATAAAGCCAATGAAAGCCCGGAATGTTCCACAGCGGAGACAATCTCTTAGCCATTTTTGTATGTCTAGCACTTAGCGGCTACTGGAGGAAGGGCTATGGAATCCATACGTGGTTAAATGATGGAAAAGCTGGGTAATCCGAGCTGATATGAAGGGAACTCTCCTTAATACTCAGGGGCTGGACACATGCCCTTCAGCAATTTTAAATGAATGGGTAATAAGGAAATAAATTATGAGGCCACATGTCTTCCTTTCCTCTCTAGGTCATTTTCTTGGTGAACAGTGGCTCAGAAGCCAATGAGCTGGCCATGCTGATGGCCAGGGCGCACTCAAACAACATAGACATCATTTCTTTCAGGTAATCACCACTTGGAATATTCAACCTTAGGAACACTGACTTACCCCCATTCTTAATGTGTATCTTTACATTAGCATGGAGTGGGAGAGAGGTTTTCTCGGGAATATTGTTCTAATTGTTAAGTTTGAAGGAAGGATTGGTCAGTTGAATTATATAACAGGATAACTGCACTCAAGTTAGCCTTATACAAGAGAGGGGGCCCCAACTGGTCACAAACAGCTTGAAGTCCTCATTATGTCATAGATCCTCCTATGGAATTAAAGAGAAACCCACATGACAGTTTTTTAACTTTGAAGGTGTGGCAGGGACCACACCGTATATCAAGCAGTAAAGGACTGTTCCCCACCTTAGAAGATCAAGGCTGTACCAAAAAATACTGGCCCGTTTTAATTTCTGCTCATGATAAGGAGCTGTCCGCTTATTTCATAGGGCTAGTTGCACCTGTTTTTCACCCTTTATTCTCCTTAAGTTCAGAGGATGCACATATAACCCTGTATATTTCTGCTTCTTCTAGTGACTTTTGAGCACTGATAACAGATTAATTAATAAACCCTTAATGGCTATATTAGAACTAAAAATAATAGAAAACTAAGCATTGTGCTCACAGTTACCTTCCTTGGGTAATTGTACACAGCACATTTAAACAGACTCCTGAAAGTTAATGTAAAAGATAGGAATGACTTACGGTAAACGTTGATGGAATGAAGAAACAGTGGCATTTTTAACCTGTCTGGTCATAATTTCTGTGTGAATTCAAAAGAAGATTTTATTTAATCCTTATGATAGCACATTCAATACTGCACATTCCATATCAAATGAATATGCAGTTATTACAGGAATCAGGAATATGGTAATAAAGAATTGTGATTAATGTATTACCTAAATAACATTCCAGAATGTGTATGTCCAGGTAAGTATTAAGTAGTCACAGTGCTACCAGGGTTCAACACACATTGTGTCTCCTTTTTCAAGATATATTAGGTCAGTGCAAAAGTGATTGAGATTTCTGCCATTAGAAGTAATGGCAAAAACCACAATTACTTTTGCACTGACCTAATACAACCATTCTTTTGAATAGTCTTAATAGTCCAAAATCCTTGTTTAAAGGTGATTTTGGTATGGAAAATTGTTAAAATTCATTTGAAGCTGACACTGATGATCAGGAGCATTTATACTAAACATAACTGTTTCAGGTTCAAAAGAAACAAAACCTATGTTTCTTAGATGGAGAATAAGGTAATTTATAAGGTGTGTAAGTCCCTAAAGATATTGAACAACAGGTATATCACAGGAAAAAATATTTGGCTTCCCAAGGCGACTACTTCAAAGACTGGTATTCATTGAACATATAATTTCTGGTATGTTGCTAAAAGATGAGTCTCATATGATGGAGTAATAGAGTAGGGCAGGTCCTAAGATTGGAGGTCTTGGACAAATGTTCTCCAAAATTCCTTTCACAGTTTCAAATCTATGTTTTCTAACAACAACTAGAAAAGACTGTTAAGTACATTCACCTGACGTAGGTTTAGATGTGTTCTTAGAAATCAGAGGTGGATGTGAATGATGTTCTATTTCATCTTCATGACCTTCCTGGATTTTCTCTTTTGTCCTACTTAGTGGACCAGGAACTTGATTCAATCCTCCTGTTGTTTCTTCTCTGCAGAGGAGCCTACCATGGATGCAGTCCTTACACACTTGGCTTGACAAATGTAGGGACCTACAAGATGGAACTCCCTGGTGGGACAGGTTGCCAACCAGTGAGTTTGGAGATTTTTCTCTTGTTTCTTTAAAGACTGCTGGGTATGTGAAGTAGTTGATCAGGTTTTCCTGGTATAAGGATTAGAAACTAATATAAAGCCTGCCATTAATCAGGGGCTCAATTTGACCTAATTGAATTGGAGACCACTTGAGGACACCATTAGAAAGGCCTTCCGAGTCTGAGTAATAATTAATGACAGGGTTTTAAAATTTATTTTGCTTTTAAATAAAATCAAGTAAACTGCAAAGCTCTGAGAATCTTGAATGCACAAAATTTCTATGAAGTCATCACTGTACTCACCTTCTGTTCCCACTTACTATACCCACCTTTTCAGCATCAGAATCAGATACCTAATTATTCTTATTCTTTCAGATGCCCTTACCCACTGCACCCTTGAGCAAGTTGTTTCCAGGCTAACTTTGAAATCAGTTTCCTTGTTAGAGTGCCCACATAGCTGATTTCTAAGAAAAAATTATCTCTGCAAAGCAGATTATTCAGTTTTCATCTTAAGTGGGGGAAGAATGAGGGAGGAAAACTAAGAAGCCCTTTTGTCTTGATGGCGGCCTAAATGGGCTGTCTCGTGTTCATGTTTGGCCACACTCCTTCTTTTGTCATTTGCAGACAATGTGTCCAGATGTTTTTCGTGGCCCTTGGGGAGGAAGCCACTGTCGAGATTCTCCAGTGCAAACAATCAGGAAGTGCAGCTGTGCACCAGGTCCGACTGGGCAAGGGAGGGGCCAGTGGAGGGTTGGATGTTGGAAAGGGCATGAATAAAGGCACACCTATCCCTGAAGGAACAATTGAATTTGAAAACATGGAAAAGGGAAAAGCCAGAGGAAGCAAAACTGGAAAGTAACCAAGTTATTCCTCATTGAATCAACACTTAGGTCTGCTATCACTTCACTCTCAGACCATCTGTCTGGCCATGTAGGAAAAGCATCTCATGCTATCAAAGCCAAGCTTAAAAAAATGACTATCAGCTGGTACTTGATTCAAGGCATTCTATTAGCTCTATTATAATAGCAATAGCTCTGGTGTCAATTTTAAAATGAAACAATCTTGACGTGGTGGCATGCCTGGAGTCCCAGCTACTCGGGAGGCTGAGGTGGGAGGATTACTTGAGCTGAGGAAGTTGAGGCTGCAGTGATTCATGATTATGCCACTGCACTCCAGCCTGCATGAAAGAGCAAGCCCCAGCGGGGTGCGTAGCTCACAGCTATAATCCCAGCACTTTGGGTGGTTGAGGCAGGCAGATCACCTGAGGTCGGGAGTTTGAGACCAGCCTGGCCAACATGGTGAAACCCTGTCTCTACTAAAAATACAAAAATTAGCCAGGCGTGGTGGTGTGCACCTATAATCCCAGCTACTCAGGAGGCTGAGGTTCAAGAATCACTTCAACCTGGGAGACAGAGGTTGCAGTGAGCTGAAATAACACCACTGCACTCCAGCCTAGGTGGCAAGGCAAGACTCCGTCAAAAACAAAACAAAACAACAACAACAAAAAAAACCCAAGAAATCAAAATGGGTGGGATTATTTACCAATCCCAATGGATGGAGGGAAAATAATGCTTTTGGGAATCTCAAAACTCCAGTCAAAAAGTTCTCCAGGGACTGCCAGCCAAAATGAGAGCATCTGTCAAACAAAACACAAGGCTGCCCTTCCTTCAGGCTGCTGACAACCCTGGCAAAAGTTTCAAAGGCTTTCTCACAAGGAGAACTTCCATTTATCAATCACATTTTTGTTTGCATTCTTTACCTATACTTAATAGGAGGGAGAGGAGGCAGGAAACATCACCTGTTCCTTGCTAATCAACAAGCCCTGCCTCCGATTTGTCATCGCAACCTTTTGAATAGCTGCTCCTTAGTAGCTCTGAAGGAAATAACTAAAAGCTTCAGCCCAGTGATTTTTAATGGAATAGTATGAATCACTGGGTTGAGAGGAAAAATACAAAACAGAAGTCTTAAAAACCAGCTCTGAAAGGAAGAAAATTCACCGTCGTCTTAAAATTCAGATGACATAATAGCAAAATGGAGGTAAGAGAATGAAAAAGTAAGTACTGGAACAAGACAAGATGTCACGCTCACGGAATTTAAAACCAGAAGGAAATGTAAAGCTATAAAGTTGTAAATCAAACTCTTCACTTTAAACATGAGGAAAGCCAGATTCACACAGAGGAGACTGGAGGGCTAAGATCTGACCCCAGGTCTTTTCACTCCAAAACCAGTGCTCCCAATTCCTATAGCCATCCTCATCCACACTGATGTGCCGTCAACATAAACCCAAGCTGAAAAATCATTCCTGTCCTGCAGGCCAGGACTGAGGAGTTGCATGAAGTCAAGAGATGGATTCCACTCTCAGCTCTGGCATGGTTCGGCTATGAGCAAAAGCTTCCCCTTTTACTTCAGTTTTCTCATTTGTAAAACAGAGACAGCAATATCTGGCTGCTGCCAACACCATCGCAGCACTTCATGAGATAAAGCATAGAGAGTTTATGTAGAGAAAACCAGACCACAGCAATACCTGGTAAAGCCATATTTGAATATTGTATCTGTATGGCAACAAGAACTAAAATCAGTTTGATGCACCTCCCAGACCCTGGTCTGACTGCAAAACCACCAGCACAGAGCCTAGTAGACAGAAGCACTCAAGAGGTGGCCATTCCTTCTTTTCCTGCCATATGTTCCTCTTTCCATATAGAAGAGAGACAAGCCTACTGTAAGGCCTACTATAGGACTACTAAAGCAAATTTGACAATACCAGAAGTCCATGGTCTCTCTAGTGGCATCTAGAGGCTAAATGATAGTGACAGACGTACATTTCTGCTCTGAACTATTGTCTTTGGCATATCTGAAGTCAGCTGTTTTCTTTCTTATTTATTTATTTATTTATCTTTTGAGACGAAGTCTCACCCTTGTCCCCCAGGCTGGAGTGCAGTGGCGCGATCTTGGCTGACTGCAACCTCCACCTCCTGGATTCAAGCGATTCTCCTGCCTCAGCTTCCCAAGTAGCGGGGATTACAGGTGCCTGCCACGATGCCCAGCTAATTTTTGTATCTTTATATTTTTAGTAGAGACCAGGTTTCACCATGTTGGCCAGGCTGGTCTCGAACTCCTGACTTCAGGAGATCCACCTGCCTTGGCCTCCCAAAGTGCTGGGATTACATGCGTGAGTCACCGTGTCCAGCCAGCTGTTTTCTTAACTCATATCTTCAAGAGACAAGACTATGTATGTAATCTTTGAACAGGATTGGAATACAAAAGAAGGACCCCAGCCTCCTCCACTGCCTTTAGTACCTGGGAAGGGTTTGGTCTTTGCTGTAAAACTGGAATATTCATATATGTTTACAGAAGCATCCAAACATGTGCAGTTCTTTGACTATAGATGTTGCTTGTTCTCAATTCCTCTTAACCTATTGATAGGAATACCTTAAGAGGAATTGAGGCACCAACCATGGTAGAGATTTTTCTCATCTCAGAAATATGTCATCTCTCCCAACAGAGGCGGGGGGTCATTTTGCGAGTCTAATCTAGATGTTTATGTGGTCTATTTCTTTGTTCTACTCCATCTACCTCCCAGGGTTTTTTCTCCCCAGGGGTTCATTCCAGGCCCTGAGTTTCAGATGTAAACCATGATGAGATGCAATCCTCATTACCTACTGCCCCCACAATGTTCCAAACCTGGTACTGATCATGTCATTCTTCTTCTTTTGAAAGACAAGTTTTGTTTTTCTTAAAACTTGTAGTTCTTTCTTGGCTCCTCACTCAACTTAACTCTTTCTGTACCACCAGCTGGAATAAATTCTTCCTTCGCCATCCTGTTGCAGTATTCAACAGAACATCCTGTCTTCACCCCCTTGGGGTTTTCCTCCTGCCAAGCCTCTGCAGAAGAGGCCTAACCTGGGGTTACAGCAATGAGCCAATGCAGCTAGTGTGAAATAAAGTAAAAAGCTCATCACAGTCGATGACTCTCTCATCGCTGAGCATGTGGGCAGAGAGGGAAAACGTCATGAAAGGTCTAGCATAGGTTCAAGCAAAACCTTTTGGTTTGGTTCTGCCCAAATTTAAACTCCACTCTTTGATTTCTCCAGTTACAAATGGGCTTGTTAAACAAATTATGTCTCTTGAACATAAGACCATCTTTTAGGGTCATCTGAAGCTGTTTTCCTTTCCCAATAAAAACCAGAAATTTCTGTCTCTAGAGGCATAGATTTATTTGTCTACTATATTCTTCTCATCAAAACAACACAAGTGATGCCAAAAACATACTTTGAGGGCTTGATATATTTGTCATTACTTCCTTTCTCACACCCTCAACCTCCAACCTCCAGCTAACCAAAGACATCAGGTACCTCTGTCAATCAAACTTTTCCGAATATCACACATAACCTAAAAATATGTTCCGGGCCAGCTAGCATTTCCTCACTTTTAATGAAGAGCTGAGGTATAAAATTCGGTTTTGATGGTGATTGCAGAAGGTTTCTATTCCTTCTGTCTAGCACCGTGGAGACAGCACTGCATCCATGCCTCCAGGCAAGCACTGGGATGGAAGGTGGTGACCTAGACTGCTTTCACTGTCACTTGGGTTGGGGCTTTCCATCCCATCCACATCTTCCTCTGCACTCCTTCCGTCATCTATGGATATAAGTTTAAGTTCAGAGACTGCATGGTGCTGTTTAGAACCAAATAACAGGTGTGGATAAAAATTCTGAAGGCTCAGTCATGTATGGATACAGTTGATCTGGGACCTTTGTTATTCCAGAATAGAAGAATTTCTCTCTCTCTCTCTCTCTCTCTCTCTCTCTCTCTCTCTCTCTCTCTCTCTCTCACCTTTCCTGCTTCCTTGGTGATTCCCACTTTCAATTTTGACACACAGATGTAGGCTTTTGGAGCTTGGGCAAGCCTGTTGGGCAATCTTCCCACTCTCCTCTCGTCCTCTGCCATCCACAGGATTTCATGCCTGTGTGTCTGTGTGGTGAGGCTTGCAGCTGGTGAAGCAAGGCAGAAATGTTTCTAGTATCTTTAAGCAGGATGGGAAAGTAGATGTGGTTAGTACTAAGACAACTGAGCTGGATGGACAGCTGGTACTGGTACCATGATAGCACTGGCTTTTCTCCAGTGGAAAACAGCTAAAAAATTCTGGATAAAATGAAACACATTCCCTTCAAAGCATGGATACAAGAAAGCACGAATTCTCAGAAACGCATAGAGATCATTAGGGCAGTGCAGGCAGCTTTGACCCTGAGAGCATTTGTTGAACCTGGTAACCTTTTTTTTTTTTTTTTTTTGATAATAAGAATTATTTATTTATTTTAGCGGTTAGATATGTGATATGTTATTGTCATCAGGTTTTTCTTTTTTTTTTAATTTTTATTTTTATTATAACTTTAAGTTGTAGCGGTGGTACAGTGCATAACGTGGCAGGTTGCTGTACAATGTATAACCGCTTGTGCCATTGTTGGTTGCTGGCACCCATCAACTCGCAGCACACCCATCAAACCTCTCATTTACCATCAGTATACACTCCCAATTGCAATCCTCCCCCGCATGTCATGATAGCCCCGGGTGTGATGTTTCCTCCGAGTCCAAGTGATCTCATTGTTCAGTTCCCACCTTATGAGTGCAGAGACATGCGGGGGTTGGTTTTCGGTTCTTGTGATAGTCGTTGCTAAGGCAATGGATGGTTTCCAGCTGCGCAGTCCATGTCCCTGACAAAGGACACAAACTCATCCTTTTGTATGGCTGCATAGTATCCATGGGTGTATATGTGCCACATTTTCTTAATCCAATCTGCTCACTGTGCGAACATTTGGTATTGATTCAGTCTGTGCTATGGCGGTGTGAATGAGTGCCCACAATAAACATACGTGTGCACCGTGTGTCTTTATCGCAGCATTGATTTTAATGCCTTTGTCGTAGTGATACCCAAGTAATGGATGGCATTGGCGTCATGGATTAGTACATCTAGTTTAAGATCATGTGAGGAGGCGCCATACCTGTTTTCCCATAATGTTGACACTGAGTTTACAATCCCACCAACAGTGTAAAAGGTGTTCCGTATTTCCTCCAATCCTCTCCAGCACCCTGTTGTTTCCTGACTTTTAAATGATTGCCATTCCTAACTGGTGTGCAGCAATGGATCTCATTAGTTGGTTTTGATTTGCCATTTCTCTGTATGGCCAGTGACTGTATGAGCCATTTTCTTTTCACTGTGTGTCTGTTGCGCTGTATGAATGATCCTTCTTTGTTGAGCAAATGCTCTGTGTTCAGGATATCCTGGTAGGCGTTTGCCCACTTTTTGATGGGGTTGTTTGTTTTTTTCTTGTAAATTTGTTTGAGTTCTTTGTAGGTTCTGGATATTAGCCCTTTGTCTGATGAGTAGATTGCAAAAATTTTCTCCCATTCTGTAGGTTGCCTGTTCACTCTGATGGTAATTTCTTTTGCTGTGCAAAACTGAACCTGGTAACCTTGAGCTTCCATGCTGATGGCTCTGTGGAGTACAGGGAAGAGATGACGAAGTCCAGGGCCCAGCCAAAGTAAGGGATCTTGTAGGAAACCCTCTCCTGCCACGAAGCTGGAGCCCCCAAGGGGCCACCTCTTCATCCATAGGTCAACTAGAATTAAAAACACCACCAAGAACGCGTTACCCGTCACAGGCCAAAGGGCCTGCAAGGATTCTGGTGCTGAATGGAAGTGGAGGGACTGGGAGGAACCACCCCCGGAAATTTCACCTGCAAGCTGGCTCTCCAAGGCTTTGCATTGTGAACGCTCATTTCCTCAAGCTTAAAATTTAAAGGACTCTTAGACTCTAACGCCCTGCGTGCTTGGAAGCTGCAAATTCAAATAGGCTCTGGAGGGATCTACCTCATTCTGGGTCTCAAAGAGTTCTCACAAATGAAATTCCAAGGAAAATAAACTGCCCCTTATCAAAAATAAACATACAATACACAAAACTCTACAATCAAGAAAAAGATCTGCAAGGATTTCAAATAACAGAATTATCAGATAGACTATGACACGAATATGTTTAATACATTTAAAGAAAATCAAATATAAGCTTGGAAATATGTGAAATGGATAGGACATCATGAAGAATAAGAAAGCAAGTTTTGAAAACAAATATGTCTTCTAGTAATATAAAAGTGATTATTGACATTTAAAACTCAGCAGGTGGGTTTATCAGCAGTAAGATGCAGCCAAAAGGAGAAGTAACGAATTAAAGACGGATCACTTTAACAAGGGCACTTTACTGCTTTTCCCCACTAGAAAGACCTCTAAAAGAAAAAGAAAAAAGAAAGACCTTCAAGCAAAATTGCTCAATGTCTCACTCCAGCCATAATTTCTACTATTTGTTAATATTTTCTTCTTAATGCATTAAACATTTACTGAGCACCACCTACAGTGTTTGGCCAGAGAGATTTTAGAAATGAACAAGGCATAGTCCCTGCCCACAAAAACCTCCTGATTAATGGGAGAAAGGTCTGTTAAAAACAAGCACAGGACCAAGTGCCAAGGGCTGCGATGGATGGAAGCCACTTGGCTCTCGAACATTTCTCTTTAAACTGAATTCTAATTGTTCTACAAACATATTTACTAACTCTAAAGACAAAGACACTTTGTAGCTTTAAAACTGTACATCAGATTAGATGGCAATGAAAGGAAATAGAGTTACTTTCAAATAAATTAAATCACTCTAATTCCATTTGAATTAGATCCACCCGTTTTAGAGGATGGGCATCCTTAGGTGAAACAGCTGTCTATACCAGCTCAGTGACACTTCGGGACATTTTTTCCCCAGATGGAAAGAACTGAAGTGGTTTGTTTGTGCCTTTATGGCTATCCTAATCTCCCTTCTTGAACCAAAGTACAAGTTGTTCAGAGGGAATGTTCCCCCTTCAGAAATGCATATCCTCACTCCCAGTCCCTGGTTGACTTACCCTGTCTGGGTTTTTGTTTTTCTTTTTTTTCCTGTTTTTCCCCATGCTTCTAGATATCAGGCTCACATTTTCAAATGCTGTGTTTGTTTTACTTTGTGGTTTGTTTTTTGCAGACTGCTGCCAAGCTAAAGACCAGTATATTGAGCAGTTCAAAGACACGCTGAGCACATCTGTGGCCAAGTCAATTGCAGGATTTTTTGCAGAACCTATTCAAGTGGGTACATGAATCTAAGACATTAATGGAGCTGAATCTTCAATTATCAGAAAGTTTTAACTCATACATTCTAGAGAATTCCAAATGAATTAAGTGTTTACTGTGTCCGTCTCTAAATTTGTTCTCTTGGTCTCCTTGAAAGAAAGAAGACACTGACTTTCAAATGATCTTTTAAAAACCCTCTCCTCCATTTCCACCAGACAGGTGAAACTGCTGAACTCCTAAAATTCTTAAGAAGAGGAAACCCTGGCCGTTTTTAGCTGCTTAGTAACATCCACATTGTCCCAAGAACTCTTTCGTTAGTCTCACCAAATTCCTCTATTCTACTGTTTTCTAATCTCGGAAAATAATCAATGTTTGCATCTTTTTTCCAGAAGTCATGGTGTAGAATAATAACTCCTCTTTTCACCCGTAGTGAAAACTGTTCTATAGACTGTTGTTAAAATTGCTAGTGTTACTATCATGATATTGATGATAATGATGATCTAACTTTTTGTATACTTTGAAAGGCTGATGCTATTATTATAGGTCTTCTTGGTCTGGTCTTTTGCAGGGTGTGAATGGAGTTGTCCAGTACCCAAAGGGGTTTCTAAAGGAAGCCTTTGAGCTGGTGCGAGCAAGGGGAGGTGTGTGCATTGCAGATGAAGTAAGTGGCATGTAAGGGTGCCATTGAGTGCTGTGGGAACAGGAGATGCACAGACAGAAACCTCCTAAACTTCCTCCGTGTTCCAGGCAAAGTCTCCAAAGTTTGCCTACAAATGAATGAAATTTTTGCTAGTGGGCTGGTTGATTTGTTAGTACATTTGCTGATCAGTTTAACAGGTACAACAGAATTTAAATATCCAAATTGATGTCTATCAAATAAGTTGCTAACAGACATATATGATGTTAATAGACCATGACTCAATGTATTTTTTAAATTCCTTTCTAGGGATTGTTTCAGGGGCTGACAAACAACATAGGAAATTTAATCTCACAGCCAAGTTTTTTGTTGTTTTTATTTGTTTGGTTATTTTGAGACAAAGTCTCGCTCAGTCGTCCAGGCTGGAGTACAGTGTACGATCTCGGCTCACTGCAACCTCCGCCTCCTGGGGTTCAAGGAATTCTCCTGCCTCAGCCTCCCGAGTAGCTGGGACCACAGGCATGTGCCACCAAGCCTGACTAATTTTTGTGTTTTTAGTATAGACGGGGTTTCACCATGTTGGCCAGGCTGATCTTGAATTCCTGACCTCAAGCGATTCGCCCGCCTTGGCCTCCCAAAGTCCTGGGATTACAGCGTGAGCCACCATGCCAGGCCCAATAGCCAAGTTTTTAATCTCAATTTTTGCAAAAATAGTATTTACCAACCTGGCAGCATATACCTTTCTGACAAAACTTGCCTAGAAATAATGTGGGATTTCTTTGTTTGTTTGTTTTTGAGACGGAGTTTCTCAAAACAACAAGAGAAAGTTTCTCTCTTGTTGCCCAGGCTGGAGTGCAGTGGCATCCTCTGCCTCCCGGGGTTCAAGTGATTCTCCTGCTTCAGCCTCCCAAGTAGCTGGGATTACAGGCATCCGCCACCACACCCAGCTGATTTTGTGTTTTTTAGTAGAAACTGGGGTTTCTCCATGCTGGTCAGGCTGGTCTCAAACTCCTGACCTCAGGTGATCTGCCCGCCTTGGCCTCCCAAAGGGCTAGGATTACAGGCGTGAGCCACCATGCCCGGCCAAAGTAATGTTTTTAAAATAATAATAATAATAATAATCCAGCCTCTAAATTAGAAGAGTACCACCACTGCAGATACTGCATTTGAAAATAGTTCCCAGAAAATTGTAAAATAGATTTAATTAAAGCAGCATTGGTGGAATAAGCACGCTACCCCCAAGGGCATTACTTTAATGGGAATAAAATTCACTGGCTATGTGAGCTCTAGCTGTGTGTTTTTAAAAGGGATTAATTTACCTATGATTATACCTTATATTAGAGTGTATCAAAGAAAGTAGTCCTCTGTCTACTTAGAATAGTTATGGAGATTAGAAGACCAGAGGATGATCACGAGGGCCACAGAAGCCCTGCTTTACTGCTGGGTGACCTATCTTGATTGGACTAACAGGTGGTTAGACCAGCCAAGGACAAGTGGAGAACCTGTAAGCATGTTTCACACCTATTTCAGTCCAGCCATCATTGCTGGAATAGACTTCCTCAACTAAAAATTTCCTACAGCTAGGCTGGCCACGGTGGCTCATACCTGTCATCCCAGCACTTTGGGAGGCTGAGGCAGGCGAATCACTTAAGGTCCGGAGTTCGAAACCAGCCCAGGCAACATGGTGAAACCCCAGAAATTTTGCAATTTCTGCCTGGGCAACTGGGTCTCTGTTATGCCCAGGTGCATTGGATGTCCCTTGTGTACCACAGGCAACTTGGGCCAGCCTGCTCCTGCTGTGCCCATCCTCCCTTCTCCAATCTGCCCACAAACCGATGGAAGTTCTGGCTGGAGAAAGATAATCTGCTATTTTAAAAAGAAGAGAATATCCAGTCAGTTTGAAATTAGCTACATCATTTAAAAGGATAAACTTTGGCCTCCAAATCAGCACATAGTGAAGCTATCACAGTCAGACTAATTAAAGAGATGGTAGGCTGAATTCAAAGGAAATATGAATTTCAGAATTTTCTGTCTTACGGTTTTATGACTTTCAAACAATGATTGAAAACTGTCTAACACAGGTATCCTTAAGAAGGACTATTCCGAGGACTAGGTAAAAATAAGGATAGCTAGAACTTTCTGAGTACTCACTGTGTGTCAGGCACTGTTCATAACACTTTGCACGTGTTAACTCAGTTCATACCTATCAACAGTTCTATAGTTCTATATGCCCCATTGCTATTATTCCTATGTATTAATCCTTTCTCATGCTGCTGATAAAGAAATACCTGAGACTGGATAATTTATAAAGAAAAAGAGGTTTAAAGGACAGAGTTCCATGTGGTTGGGGAGGCCTAACAATCATGGCAGAATGCGAAAGGCACATCTTACATGGCAGCAGACAAGAGACAATGAGAGCCAAGCAAAAGGGGTTTCCCCTTATAAAACCATCAGATCTTGTGAGACTTATTCACTACCATGAGAACAGTATGGGGGAACCGCCCCCATGATTCAATTATCTCCCACCAGGTCCCTCCCACAACACGTGGGAATTATGGGAGCTACAATGCATGATGAGATTTGGGTGGGGACACAGCCAAACCATATCATCCCATTTTAAATATAAGTGAATTTAGGTCCAAGGTGGTTAAACAACCTGTCAAGCTTATGCCCTGAGTAGGAATAGGTCCAAGACTCAAATTCAGGCTCCCAAAACCACATGACTAGCCACTGTATCAAGCTGCCCCTCCAAAATGACAGAGCGTGGTATAGAAAGGGCAAATCATGGCAGAAAGGGAAGGAACACAGGATAGAAAAACCTGAGTGCAGAGGGTCAGTTCTGCCGAGGAGCCGTCTTACACAAGTCATCTTAATTAATATTCAGTGCCATTCTTTTCTTTAAAATGTGGAATTTGGATTAAAGGTAGAAAACTGGCAGCCTCTGGGCCCATACTGGCATAGACTGATTTTGAATTTGAAACTGACTGCAGGGCATGCCCACCCATAGTCCCCACCACACTTGCTGTCATGACCCAGCCTGCTCCTCTCCCTAATGTATGCTCCTCATCTGCAAACACAGTTGAGTTTATGGATGTTAGAATGATCCATCTCTGTACTACTGTAAGAGTCTATGAAACTGATACTTCCTCAGTGACTAAACATGGTTTATTGTTCTACATAATTCCACACATTTGTAACCGAGTCCAAAGCTTGTACCACTTGCTGCAAAACAGTCAATAAATCAAGCAATAAGGTTTGGGGCAAGGAAGACCACCTTATTTCGGGGAGCAAGCAAACCGAGAAGACAGCAGACTCATGTCCTAAAGAACCACCTTGGCCAAGGCGGGCGGATCACGAGGTCAGGAGATCGAGAGCATCCTGGCTAACACGGTGAAACCCCATCTCTACTAAAAATACAAAAAATTAACCTGGCCTGGTGGCGGGTGCCTGTAGTCCCAGCTACTCAGGAGGCTGAGGCAGGAGAATGGAGTGAACCCGGGAGGCAGAGCTTGCAGTGAGCCGAGATCGCGCCAGTGCACTCCAGCCTGGGCGACAGAGCGAGACTCCGTCTCAAAAAAAAAAAAAAAAAAAAGAACCACCTTAAGCAAATGTGGGTTCCTTTTATGTTAAGGGAAAGGGGAAGAGGGAGGAGGTTGAGGTCAAAAGGTGACTGGTGACCACAGATATTTGAGCCACAGCAAGGGTAAACTTTCCTCCTTGGTCAGGTTACAATACTGTTATAAATTTTTAATGTAACATTATTACTTGTGTGTACACCCTTCTTATCTCCTCAGGGATTCTTTTTAAAGCATCCTGGCCTTAGTTAAACCATAAACTAAATTCCTCCCATAGTTAGCTTAGCCTATATGCAGAGATAAACAAAAGCAGTTAACCTAAAAGACATCATCACAGTGGGAGGATGAGAGCAAGCTGGTTAGGAGCAAAATGGAATATGTCATACTAGGCTTCCTTTTCACTGTTACACATTGTCCAAGCAATCTGATTTTTCACCATTTATGCCATTTATGTATGGTATTTAGATAGAGTGAAAAAGACAGGCAGGAAGACAAAATGGATGGATTTTCCACGAGCTCCTCCTACATTATCCCATTTGGAAAAATCAATCAGTTGCCCAGAGGCTAATTAGTAGGAAGGAGGCCACCCAGGATTCCAGCCCAGGTCTGTCTGACTCCTGGGTTAAGCTCTTCTCCTATATTAGTCACTGTCATCTAATTCTAACCCCCAGAATCTGCCCTTGCTGCAGCAGCCTAGAGAAAGTAGGAAAATGAGAAGTGAATCTGAGAAGGACGCTCACTCTTTTTTTTTTTTTAAGATGGAGTCTTACTCTGTCGCCCAGGCTGGAGGGCAGTGGTGTGATCTCGGCTCACTGCAACCTCTGCCTCCCAGGTTCAAGCGATTCTCCTGCCTCAACCTTCCGAGTAGCTGGGACTACAGGCACCCGCCACCACGCCCAGATAATTTTTGTATTTTTAGTAGAAACGAGGTTTCATCATGTTGGCCAGGGTGGTCTCGAACTCCTGACCTCAGGTGATCCACCCGCCTCGGCCTCCCAAAGTGCTGAGATTACAGGCGTGAACCAACGCGCCCAGCCTGGAAGCTCACTCTTTTAAGTGCATTTTAGAATGAGCTTCAAGTACTCACATCCCTAACCCCTGTTTTACATTGTGTGTATGTGTGGAGAGAGACAGAGAGACGGACAGGGAGACTGAGAGCCAGAGAGAAATCAAGGAGACTTCACCAGAAAGGCTCTGGCAGAAATGTGTGTGGAGATGTTTGTGTGACTTTATTTAATCAGGCACTACTGCCACCCTGTCATTCATTCCACAAGTGCTTATGAAGTGTCTACTTTGTATCAGGCACTGTGCTAGGTGTTGCGGGTAGAGAATGGAATAAGACACAGTCCCTGCCATGGGACATGCCCACTGGTGATAACAGTCCTCTATGAAAGCCGCTGATGGCAGCATGCCCAGAGTACCTTGAGAGGGAGCCTAACTAAGGCTCAGGAGAACCTTCAGAAACCAAGTGATGGCAAAGTTTGTTTTTTTGTTTGTTTGTTTGTTTGTTTGTTTGTTTGTTTGGGGGTTTTTTCGGGGGAGGGTTTCGAGAGGGAATCGTGCTCTGTTGCCCACGCTGGCGTGCAGTGGCACGATCTCGGCTCACTGCAAGCTCCACCTCCCTAGTTCATGTCATTCTCCTGCCTCAGCCTCCCGAGTTGCTGGGACTACAGGCACCTGCCACCACGCCCGGCTAATTTTTCAAATTTTTTTTGGTAGAGACGGGGTTTCACTGTGTTAGCCAAGATGGTCTCGATCTCCTGACATTGTGATCCCCCTGCCTCAGCCTCCCAAAGTGCTGGGATTACAGGACTGAGCCACTGCGCCTGGCCAGCAAAGTTTGTTTTGAAGCACAGAAGAAGTCAGTGAGATGACGCAGCAGGAAGAGGGTCTTCTAGAAAGAGCGAACAGCATGCACAAAAAAACTAAGGTCAGTTTTTAGTCCAAACCACAATTTCTAGATTAGAGGAGTTCAACCCTGAGTTAACTGCCTCGGCTGGGTCCTCCTCATGATACAGTTCTCAGGAAGGGGAAGGCATCCCTGGAAGAGGATGACCAGTTTAACTGGGCTGGAGCAAGTGCCGCAGCTCCACCTGACTGACAGTAACTCCCTCTTCATCTATCCTGGGGCAGACTCAGCTTCTCTACTTTTCTACCCTGCTTTCTTACACAGAGGAAATGCTCATCAAAAACTGTTAATCATAATGATCCCTTTCATATTATTTGTACGACCCTCATTGAGCCTGTGACATACTGTTGTATTTCTACTTGATGGATGAGTTAGCAGAGGTTCCAAGGACTTAAGAAACATACCCAGAATTGCACAAAGCTAGGAAATGACTCTTGATGCCTAATATCAGGCATCAGATTAAGCGCTTTGTCCATGATACTACAGGATGCTGATGATAATGGCTGATGATGGCCATAATGAGGAGGAGGAAAAGGAAGAGATCAGAGAAGGAAACAGCATTTCTTTTTTTTTTTTTTTTTTTTTGAGACAGAGTCTCACTCTGTTGCCCAGGCTGGAGTGCAGTGGCACGATCTCGGCTCACTGCAACCTCCACCCTCTGAGTTCAAGCGATTCTCCTGCCTCAGCTTCCTGAGCAGCTGGGATTACAAGCAACTGCCACCATACCCGGCTGATATTTTGTATTTTTAGAAGAGACAGGGTTTCACCATCTTGGCCAAGCTGGTCTTGAACTCCTGACCTCATGATCCACCCTCCTCGGCCTCCCAAAGTGCTGGGATTACAGGCATGAGCCACTGCACCCAGTCAAAAACAGCATGTCTTGATGGGTTTCCAATTGTTTTGAACTTGTTTTCCCAGGTGCAGACAGGATTTGGAAGGTTGGGCTCTCACTTCTGGGGCTTCCAAACCCACGACGTCCTGCCTGACATTGTCACCATGGCTAAAGGGATTGGGAATGGCTTTCCCATGGCAGCAGTCGTAACCACTCCAGGTAGGACCCACAGGCAGTTTGTGTTTGCTTCTGGGCCTCGTACATTGGGCTATGGTATTAAACACGTGTGTTGGAACTTGCGTAGATTGGAGACAATCATGGAAACCGCACGATGCATTTCCCAAGCAAATGAAAGAGAGAAACAGTCTGTCTGCCTGACTGTGAAACAGATGGAAGAAAGACAGCCCTTTTTTTTTTTTTTTTTTGAGACAGAGTCTTGCTCTGTCGCCCAGGCTCGAGTGCAGTGGCACAATCTTGGCTCACTGCAACCTCTGCCTCCCCAGGTGCAAGCAATTCTCCTGCCTCAGCCTCCTGAGTAGCTGGGATTAGAGGTGTGCACCATCAAGCCCAGCTAATTTTTGTATTTTTAGTAGAAACGGGGTTTCACCATGTTGGCCAGGCTGGTCTTGAACTCCTGACCTCAGGTGATCCGCCTGCCTTGGCCTCCCAAAGTGCTGGGATTATAGGCGTGAGCCACCGCACCCCCATCGGAAACCAGCCCATTCTGATCTTCCTGTAAGGAAGACTAATTCTCCCATGCCTACCATGAAACGGAGGGTTCCACCACACTTTAGAGGTATATGGAAGAGGGAGAGGGGATGGAAAGAGGAGAGGGGTGGGAGAGGGTTCTGATGTCTCTTCCTCTTCTTATAAGAAAACCAGTTCCTTGGGCTTGGATAGGGCCCCACCCTGATGACCTTATTCAACCTAATTACGTACTTAAATGCACTATCTCCAAATACAGTCTCATTCAGGGTTAAGGCTTCAACCATACGCATTTGAGGTGATACAATTCAGTCCCTAACATCTACTATCAGTTGAATGAAGAATGAATTGGATAGGATGCCATTTACAACACGAAGTAACTGTAGTCCAAATGGCGCCATGAGAGAATGTGGACAGTAATGTGTCCCTCTTTCCACACTTTCTATTTTTTCCCTCTAGAGATTGCCAAATCTTTGGCCAAACGCCTGCAGTACTTCAACACCTTTGGAGGGAACCCCATGGCCTGTGCCATTGGATCTGCTGTGCTTGAGGTTGGTGCCAGTGGCCACATTAGCCACATTTCACAAATGACTCTTTCAAAACCACACACACATTGGCAGAACTCTATCATGCAGAATTATTAAAGGGGAGAGTTAATTCATAGTTTATCCATTAAAGTTAGATTTCCGTTTATTATTCTGCCTTCTCCCTTTTTAAAGATCTACTTTGGGTGCTTGAAGTGTTGGATAAGAAATAATATGTAATAAACCTCACATACATGGGAAATATAAAAATTTTCCTAGCCAGCTGAAATTTCTTTGTTATCTGGGTAGTGATTTACAGATGTTAACTGCTATCCTTGTAATTAGTTTCATGTTGGCCTTCTCTTGTACATTTTTTTCTTCCTTCCTTTTGTTGTACTATTATAAATTGAATGACTAAGGAGACACTGAGTTCTACATGCTTACAACAAGGTAATTCAGCTGTTCAGCCCTACACCATTGATTTAGCCTGGGATCACATCTGTTTAAAAAAAGATTTATTTTTTATATTCTTGCTAACATGCCTAATATCATGTGCTTAAAGAACTATAACAAATTTCTGGAAGAATGTCTAAGAAGTAAATGACAGTGTTTTTTTGTGGGGAGGAAAACTAGGTGGCTGGGGGCCAGGGGTCAGCAAGAGTCACTCTGCTGTATGTACTTTTATGCTTGCTGATATTTATATATACACACACACATATATATTTATATATGTATATATATTTATTTATTTCAATAGCTTTTGGGATACAAGTAGGTTTGGTTACATGGATGAATTGTATAGTGGCAAAGTCTGAGACTTTAGTGCACTGTCACCCAAGTGGTGTACATTGTACACAATATGGAATTTTTCATCCCTCACCCCCCTCCCACCTTCTCCCCTTCTGGGTCTCCAATGTCGACTGTGTATCCATAGCTTAGCTCCCACCTATAAGTGAGAACACTTACTACTTGCTCCAAAAGACATTATTTTCTTTTTTATGGCTGAGTAGTATTCCATGGGGTGTGTGTGTGTGGGTGTCTGTGTGTGTGTGTGTTTGTGTGTGTATACACACCGCATTTTCTTTATCCACTCATCAATTGATGGGCTCTTAGGTTGGTTCCGTATCTTTGCAATTGTGAGTTGTACTACAATAAGCATACATGTGCAGGTGTCTTTTTGCTATAATGACTTTTCTTCCTTTGAGAAAATACCCAGAAGTGGGATGGCTGGACCAAAGGGTAGACCCACTTTTAGTTCTTTGAGAAATCTCCATACTGTTTTCCACTGAGGTTGTACCGATTTACAGTCCCACCAGCAGTTACACTCACTGATTTTTGACCATGAACTTGATTTACCTATTCCAAAAAAATGAAATTTAAAAGTATTTTTAAACAAAAATAAATAAGTAAATGCTGCCCTTGCTAATTAAATAGCTATTTTCGAAAACAATCAAATCATGAGATGAGAAAGTATGGGTAGGAATGTGTCATTTATTTGACTTTGTGGACATTGCCATTTTTTTTTTTTTTGAGAAAGATTCTTCCTCTGTCACCCAGACTAGAGTGCAGGGACACAACCATGGCTAACTGCAACCTCTGTCTCCTGGGTTCAAGAGATTCTCATGCCTCAGTCTCCTAAGTAACTGGGATTACAGGCATGCACCACCATGCCCACCTAATTTTTATATTTTTGGTAGAGATGGGGTTTCACCATGTTGGCCAGCTAGTCTCAAACTCCGAACCTCAAGTGATCCACCCACCTCAGCCTCCCAAAGTGCTGGTATTACAAACATGAGCTGACATTGCCAACTTCTTTTAAAAAGTGCTTTGTTATCTCAACCAATTTAGAAGGTAGAGAAGGTTTAGGTGAACAAATAGGTCTTTAAAAATAACAAGGTTTGCCTGGAGTCATGCAAGTATTGTCAGCTAAATAAAAATACAGTATTTTTCATGTGTCTTGTCAAGAACCCCAGGTGTTTGCTGTAAGTAGAACTGAGATAAAAATCATTTTCTATCTTCTAGTGCCCTGGCTCTGGGCTCAGCCAAAGAGGCCAGAGCCCCAGACCAGGTTGCTTGGGCCATGAGAGCCCACGTCTGGCTGAGGACTGCTGAGCAAAGGTCACCATCTTCCAGTAGGGAAAGCATCTGTGAGATTTCTTTCCTCAGAGCATTCATCCTATTCATGACTATATCCCAGTTCTCAGCAAAACCTGACAATAACAAGCCTTGGGATTTTAGAATCTACATTTTCAACTGCATTGAGACACACATTTTATTCTATTCTAACCTATTTTTTGTTTATTTTTTTGAGGCAAAGTGTCGTTCATCTGTCACCCAGGCTGGAGTGCAGTGGCGCCATCTTGGCTCACTGCAACCTCCACCTCCCAGGTTCAAGTGATTCTCCTGCCTCAGCCTCCTGAGTAACTGAGATTACAGGAGCCCACTACCGAGCCCAGCTAATTTTTGTATTTTTTTTTTTTAAGTAGAGACGGGGTTTCACCCTATTGGTCAGGCTGGTCTCAAACTCCTAAACTTGTGATCCGCCCGCCTTGGTCTCACAAAGTACCGGGATTACAGGTGTGAGACACCACGCCTGGCCTATTCTTTCCTAAATTCTTAGCCACCTCTGAAGGTGAGGGAGTTGGGGGCAGAAGCATATCCCCTCCCCTAAGACTTTTCTTCTCTCCTTACGACAAATCTTTTTGTAGTCCTTGTGGTCACACTAGACTTGTTCTGGATTCTGTTTGGTTAGGCTACAAGAGGGCCATGTCCGATGACTTCTCCACGATTCTCAGTCAGTCTTAAAACTTCTGCCATGTGAGATCATTTGGGGCTTTCTCTCAACAGGTGATTAAAGAAGAAAATCTACAGGAAAACAGTCAAGAAGTTGGGACCTACATGTTACTAAAATTTGCTAAGCTGCGGGATGAGTTTGAAATTGTTGGAGACGTTCGAGGCAAAGGCCTCATGATAGGCATAGAAATGGTGCAGGATAAGGTAGGTGCTGATCTGCTCCTCTCTCTGCAGCTGCTTGGGCCAGCGGGAGATATAGGAGGAAACATTAGCTAAACTTCGTTTACTCTCAGGGAGAGAGCACATACAAACAGCAAGCTTTCAGCAAAGCCCTTTAGAGATTAGTAGAGAGTGTTGAGTATGAACAAAATGTTGGCAGATCACCAAGAATTCTAGAGGGATGAGGGAGAGCATTTGGGAAAAGAAACCAACATTATCCTTGCCATCCTAGGCAAAGAGCATAGGCAATGATTGAATACTTAGAAATACAGGGAAGGGAGGAAATTATTTGGGGAGAAACAGAAGGAAGTAAGAAAGAAGGGCCAGGAAAAGGTTATGGTGAAGGTTTGGGGTGAGGAAGTTAAACGTATATTAGGGGTTGTTTTTGTTGTTGTTGAGACAGAGTCACACTCTGTCACCGAGGCTGGAGTGCAGTGGTGCTATCTTGGCTCACTGCAACCGCCGCCTTCTAGGTTCAAGCTATTCTCGATCGTCAGCCTCCCGGGTAGCTGGGATTACAGGCACACACCTGTAGAGACAGGATTTTGCCATGTTTCCCAGGCTGGTCTCAAACTCCTGACTTCAAGTGATCTGCCCATCGTGGTCTCTTGAAGTACTGGGATTACAGGCGTGAGCCACCGTGCCTGGCTTACGTTGAGTTTTTTGTTTGTTTGCATGCTTACTTACTTGTGAATGGATTTCAACCTCCCAAGTAACCAGGGAGGAATGTTGCCCACTGAGACCTCTAACTCATCATAACAACAATTGAACTTAGCATCTTCCCCCAAACCAGATATTTCTCCCAAGATCACTGTTTGTTTCTCACCCTCCACCATTCTTCCAATTACTCAGCCTCCATACCACAAAATCATCTGACTCCTTCTCTTCCCTTGTTTCTAACATCAAGACCCATTGATCCCTTCTCTGCCATATCTCTCAAATTTTTCCCTTTGTTTCTACTGCAGTCCCTATAGTAAATGCCCATAGGAAATTGTGCCTTTACTCCATAAAATCAAAGCCTGAGAAGAGCAGGAGAATCTTGGCAGAAGGGAGGAGCTGCCAGACTAACCTCATGTCCACAGGGATCCAGCTTTCCCTAGCAATTTCTAGCTCTTTGGTCTTACCACCATTCTACTTTAGAAGTACTGATGCTCAATTTTTTACTCTTTAGACCAGACATGGGTATAAGTCTCCTCAATTCATACCACATGTCAGAGCCAGTGCAAAGCTGGGATGTTTAAATAAGATTTGAAAGCCAAGGGAAGACACCAGGAAAGTAAACAAAGGGTAATATGAAACTAAGATCCCCAGCTCACCGGTCATTTTATTTATATATTTGTTTTGACCCCAACTTGCTTTCTACAATGGAGAACTTCTAACAAGCTATAACGTATTTAAGTGTGTGGACAAGTACAAGAGTTATTGCAAGGCTCAGAAGAGTTCACCATAATCTCCACCCAAGGGGTTCCCTCAAAGCTGTCTATACTCCTCAAAGTGTAGACTCGAGAGAGGAAAGCCCAATGAGAGAGGAGGAGTTCTTCCTTTTTCTCTGTTCCAAACCCAACCTCTGTGTGCTTAAAGTCAGATGAACAAAGATGTTCATCACAACTTTGTCTTAGTAAAACACCAGAATCCCCCTCCCAGATGACCATTCATACAAAACAAGCTAGCTTATGGCATCTCCCCACTATAATGGCATAGATATATATGTGACATGGAAATATGTGCAAGCTATATCGTGGAAACAATAAAACAGGTTTTTCTTAGTCCATTTGTGTTTTTATAACGGAATATCTGAGGCTGGGTAATTTCTAAAGAAAAGATGTTTATTTGGCTCATGTTTCTTCAGACTGTACAGGAAGCATGACACTAGCATCTGCATCTGATGAGGGTCTCAGACTGCTTCTGTTCATGGTGGAAGGGGAAGAGGAGCTGGCATATGCAGAGATCACATGATGAGAGAGAGAAGGGGAAAGCAAGAAGGAAGGGGTGGGTAGGTGCCAGGCTTTTTCCAACAACCAGCTCTAGAAGGAACTAATGGAATGAGAACTCATTATGGAGAGGACAGCACAAGACTTTCATGAGGGATCTGCCCTCACCACCCAAGCACTTCTTTTTAGGACCCACCTCCAACACTGGGGATCAAACTTCCATTTGAGGTTTGGAGGGTCAAATATCCAAACTAGAGCGAGGTTATAAAGTAGTATCTATAGAAGGGGCTCTTTTTCTCTTCGCTGAACCATTTGTTAATATAAGCATGGGCTCTAAGGGCAGACCACCTGGATTTAAATCCCAGCTCCTACATCCCCTAATTCTACTCACTGTGCGCTCAATGCCATTCACTCTGCAAATCCAAATGCCACTCAAACTTTTCCTCAACCATGGAACATGGTATTTTCCCCTCTATATCTACCTATGGAAATCCTAGTCTTTTTCAAGATCAAGCTCTCCATCGCATCTCCTTAAAGCTTGCCTTTGCTTCTGCTCTATCCAAGAGATCCACCCTTCAGAGAATTCCTCTGGTACTCACTGTCTAAGGAACTGCTTTGAAAAGATCTTTCCCACTATATTAGTCCATTCAGGCTGCTATAGCAAAGTTCTATACATTGGATGTCTTATAAACAACAGAAATATATTCCTCATGGTTCTGGAAAGTCCAAGAACAAGGAGCAGGTTGACCTGGTGTCCGATGAGGGCCCACTTTCTGGTTCATAGATGGTGCCTTCTTGCTGTGCCCTCACATAGTAAATTAGGCAAAAGAGCTTTCCGAGGCCTCTTTTGTGAGGATACTGATCTCATTCATGAGGGCTCCACTCTTGTAATCTAATCACCTCTCAAATGTCCCACCTCCAAATATTATGCCTTCACTTTGGACATTAGGTTTCAATGTATGAATTTTGAGGGACACAGACATTCAGTCTGTGTCACTTAATCTGTATTTGTTTACTCACTTTTTATGTATAAATATCTTATTTTCCTAAATAAGTTTACACTTTTGAGACCAGGAAACATATAGATGGTGAGTGCTTTGTGTTTGTCGATTAATTTCAGGCCCCTGCAACACATCATACCACATTCACGTAGTTATAACACCCAAGAACTTTGCTATAATGCTGTCCAGCATCACCCAGGATAGGTACTCTCATATTCTGTTGGTAAGGAGGTACAGCCCTTTGGACAGCAATTTGTCTGTAGCTCTCCAAATTTTAAATGTCTATACATTTTTACGTGGTGATATGGTTTGAATACGTGTCGCCTCCAAATCTCAGATTGGAATGTAATCCCCAGTGTTGGAGGTGGAGCCAGTGGGAGGTGGATCATGGGGGCAGATAACTCATCAGTGGCTTGGCGATGAGTGACTTCATGTGAGATCTGGTTGTTTAAAAATGTGTGGCACCTCCTCACTCCCGCTCTTGCTCCTGCTCTCACCACAAGACTCATCTGTTCACCTTTTGCCTTCTGCCATGATTGTAAGTTTCCTGAGGCCCTCACTAGAAGCGGGTGCTGGAGCCATGCTTGTACAGTCTGTAGAACTGTGAGCCAATTAAACCTCTTTTCTTTATGAATTACCCAGTCTCAGGTATTCCTTTGCAGCAACACAAGAATGGGCTAACATACCTGGCAATTTCTAGAAGTGTATCCCAAAGAAATACTTTCAAAAGTGTCTAAAAATATGTATGAATAGGAATATTTGCAGCATTGTTTATAACCATGAAAAAATGGAAACAACCTAAATGCTCAACATTAGGAGATTGAGCAACTTACTGCAATGAAATACTAGGTAACCTTTAAGAAGATTAGGTCCAAATATACTGACATGGAAAGATGTCCAGGATATACTATATATTATTAAAAGGAAATTGCCAAAAATTATAAAATGACTTATTTTTTTAAACATGCATATAGATGTATTTGCATGCATAGAAAAAGTATCTGGTTCGCACCAAATTGTTAATAGGAGGTGTCCCTTGGAATAGGATAGGAAGTGGAGAAATGTTCTGGTTTTACTTTATGTACTTCCAGAACATTTGAATTATTTTCAAATATTAAGTTTATAATTCTTTAAATATAGATTCACCAAAAGAGATAAACATAACGCTCCATTATACACTCATCAAGAAGTTGAATTAGTAACATGCCCACTTCATTATCAGGTAGTTGGGGCATAGACATGGGCACAAGGCCTCAGCAGGCTGCGCTATGGCTTTAGCCTCAGTAGAGTTTCAGACTCTGCTTTTTTCCCTGAAGAAGGCATACAAGATGTTCAATTAGCCATAGCAGTTGAGGCCAGGGAGGAATAAAATGGGCAAGGGAGCCAAGAGGGTGCTGGCCCAGAGCAAGGTTGGGTGAAGCCACACAGACTCTGCCCATTCAAAACTGTCATGTTGGGCCAGGCATGGTGACTCACACCTGTAATCCTAGCACTTTGGGAGGCTGAGGTGGATCACTTGAGGTCAGGAGTTCGAGACCAGCCTGGCCAACATAGTGAAACACCGTCTCTATTAAAAATACAAAAATTAGCCAGGTGTGGTGGCAGGTGGCTATAATCCCACTTACTCGGGAGACTGAGGCAGGCGAATCACTTGAGCCCAGGAGACAGAGGTTGCAGTGAGCCGAGATTGCACCACTGCACTGCAGCCTGGGCAACAGAGTGAGACTCTGACTCAAAAATCAAAACAACAACAACAACAACAACAAAAGAACTGAACCCCCAATCCAACCTTCCCTCCAGATTACTCTCTGGTCCCTCTGGCCTTTTGAATCATATTTAATGCCCTTCTAGTTCTCACAGTTTAGCCCTAAATTATTTTCATTGACCCTTTCCAATCAATCATAAGCAGGAATGCATGATAGCATTTTGGGGTCAATGAGAAGATTCTAGTCCTTCCCTCTCCCTCAGTTCCTTTCTGATCCAATAGTCTGAAAGTTTGAATATGTATTTTGCTTATCTTAAGGCTTTAAGACAGACCAAAATGAGCATATCTCTCTAGGAGGTCCCTTCTTATTACAAGAAACAGAGGATTGGGGAAAGAGTTGGATCTGGGGTTGGTGGGAAGAAGGAAGTGGATAGCAAAGCCTAGAGCGAGGGTGGGTAGGAAGTGCGGAGGATGTAATGAAGCTGGGCACACTAGAGGGGCCCCGCCTACCTCACGAGGATCGCAAGGGCTGACCCAGAGCGAGGTTCATGTCTTATGTATCTAAAACCGGAGAACCAGCCCGATGCAGAAGCTCAGTGAGGCTGGGCTACGGAGAAACCATGGCAGCAACAGGCCTCGGCGCTCATCGTGGAAAAATTAGAGCAGGGCTTAGCCCTGGCACCTGAGGACCATTTTAAAAATGCAGATGCCTAAGCCCTACTTCAAACATTCTAATTCGATTGGCCTAGCATGAGGCCCAAATATCTGTCGTCTGAAAGCCTTCCAGGTAATGCAGATATGCTCTCAGGTATAACATGACTAAGTCAGAGGGAGACATTTGTACTCACAGACTGGGAAGACAGGAGATGCACAGAAAGGATGCAAGTCAGTTCAATGTCTGACCCCACAGGGAGGGGACCTGCTTTGGATGGCCGGGGATCTGAACAGCCTCTCGGCTCCTGGAAGCACTTACCTTTCCTAACCCTGGAGGATGCAGTCTTGGGGGAGAAAGAGCAAGTCCTGCAAGCAGGGAAATTAGCTCCTCAGCTGTCCCACCGCGCTGCCCAGGGAAAGCTCAGGCTGCTGGTGCCTTTGCGCAACTTCTAAGCCATTTCGTGGCCTTTGAAATGAGCCCTTTCCATGGGCAGAACAAAGTGAAAAGTTAAGGAGAATTTCCACGTAAAACAGACTCCAAATTTAGCTATTAAGAAACCAGACTCCCAAGGCAGCCATTAGCAAAGCTAAGATTCACTGACTATCCGCACAGAACTTCATTTTGTCTTTTGGGAATTTCGGATGAATTGGGATTAAAAACAAACATTTTTAATAACATCCTCCAAAAATCTGGTTCAGCAATTAGCAACTTTATTTAATTACAGGGGAAGGAGAGGACAGAGAGAAAGAGGGAGAGAGAGAAAAAAAGAGGGGCATTGATGGCTGGAGGGTTTTTCCTTTTTCCTCTCTTGGAAATAATTCCTGTAACCATTCCAACACCAAATAGAAAGCTTTCTAAAAATATATTTACAGATGAGCCGCCGACCTCTTCCCCGTGAAGAAGTGAATCAGATCCATGAGGACTGCAAGCACATGGGGCTCCTCGTTGGCAGAGGCGGCATTTTTTCTCAGGTAAGAGAAAGACTGGTCTTTACCTATCGCTCTAGGTAGGAGTCTCTCTGGTTTCCTAGTGCTGGTCACAGTTTCTTCACAACTGTGCCGGGGTACCCAGCCACATGTCATCTAGGGATGAAGCTCGGGTATGCAAAAAAAAAAAAAAAAAAAAAAAAAAGGCGGGGACAG